TTCAAATGATGAGGTCCTTACTTTCCCCTGACCCAAATGCGATCCCGTCGAGAGCAGACCTGAAATCGCAGCAGACAAGCAAGGGGCAGAAGCTACCTGCTTCTTCCTCAGCGAGAAGGGCAGCAAGGAGGGCTATTAGCTCCGGTTGAGTGGAGGATGCCCCGTCAGAAACTCTGAGAGACAGTTTGATAGGCTCAGGGGCATCAGGACGGGAGATGTAGACACCAGCCCCGGCCCGACCTGTAGCGGGGTCAACAGAACCATCAGTGTAGAGGACGACCCTACCTGGGGACCAGTGAGCGATCCTGGAGAGGTGGTATTTGCAGAGAATAACAGGGTTCACGTGGGATTTCGGGAGCAGTCCACCGAGGGCAATCACTTCAGGTTGAATATCCAGCCAGGGAGAAGGAGACGAACCAACAGCAGGGGTTCACTTGGATCTTGGGTTGTGTATCGTAACGTGCGTATTTCTCTCCCACAAGTCCAGGGTTCGAATCGCCTCTGGTCTAAATGTATGTATGACGTAGCACATTTCCGGTTTTCGCCTGCACCAACATTGGATAAACTAACCACCCAGATGGCTTGTGTCCCAATATCAGGTGTTCTTATTTATGGTAAACAAAAATACTCAGCCTTTGGATACGCCCCTGGTAACTACGCCACTAGCAACCACGCCACTAGCAACTACGCGTGTATTATCATTTTATATTTAGCCTTTCATCCAGAGGTTTGTCACTGAGAGAATTAGTATGACTGAACATTTATAAATAGTAAATGAGGAACTCTGAGGTAGGTTATTATTGCACGGGGACGAAGCCATAATGTGGGCGTGAAATGAAACCTAACCTAACAATGTAAAGGAGAATAAATATCCAACGGGAAAACATAAATTGGGGTGTTGTGCTGACTGACTGCTCTGTTCTCCTATTGGCTGTTATTTGGATTTACATTTTAGTCCACCAATAACAGTTAATGTAAGGGATTGCTGGATGTATGCAATATGCACGACACTACGACCAAAAGTTATAGGTTCTCCAGGAAGGGGACGCTTCTGGTAGGGCCTCTAAGAAGGCCCATGAGGGTACCGCCGCCCCTTGGGGCGCCACCGCCTCTGGAACGTCCCCTGGGGACACCGCTGACCATGAAGAGAGAGTCCTTGGCGCAGCCGTTGCCCCTAAGAAATGGCCCTGTGGGAACCATCTCCTCCTGGCTTGCCCCTGGGGTTGCCACCACCCCTGCAAGATCCCTTGAGAGCCCCACGCACCCAGAAGGGCCCCTAGGGACTCCGCCGACCCTGGAAGGGCCACCTCTGGGCGCTGCTGCTCCTGGCAGGGCCCCTAAAGGAGCCACCGCCTCTGGAAGGGCCCCGGTAGGCGCCATCACCCCTAGCAGAGCCCCTGGGGGCGTCGGACCTGATAGGACAAATGTGAGGGCTCCAAGGGGCACTGTCACTGTAGGGACGCCGGGGACAGTTGTTTTTGCACATTTAGAACAAAGGGAGAAATGAATAAATATTCCGCCCAACGCATTTCCAGTATCATCACACCATGAACTGTAAAGGAGAATAAATATCCAACGGGAAAACATAAATTGGGGTGTTGTGCTGACTGCTCTGTTCTCCTATTGGCTGTTATTTAGATTTTCATTTTAGTCCACCAATCACAGTTAAGTAAGGGATTGCTAAACGTATGCAATATGTACAACACCACGACCCAAAGCTATAGGTCACTTGGCAGGGGGCTCCTCTGGGAGGGCCCCTGAGAGTACCGCCGCCCCTTGGGGCACCACTGCTACTGGAAGATCCCCTTGGGGCACCGGTGACCCTGAGGAGATTCCCTGGGGACATCGCTTCCCCTAAGAAGAGCCCCTGGGGGCGACGTTACCTCTTGGCGGGCCCCTTGGGCGACGTTACCCCTTGGCGGGCATATGGGGGCGCCACCACACCTGAGAGGTCCCCTCGTGGCACCGGTGCCCATAGGAGGGACCCTGCACTGCACCTGAAAAGGCCCTTGGGTGCGTCACAGCCCCAGGCAGGGCCCCTGGGAGTGCCGCCACCCTTGGCAGGGCCCCTGGTGGTACCGACACCTTCAGGAGGGCCCCTAAGGGCGACACACCTGGTAGGGCTAATTGGAGGGCCCCAGGGGGCACAATCACTGGATTGACTGTGGTGGCAGTTGTTTTTGCACATTTAGAACAATGGGAGATATGAATAAAAACACCGCCCATCGCATTTGTAGTATCATCACACCATCAACAATGTAATGTAGAATAAATATCCAACAGGAAAACATAAGCTGGGGTGTTGTGCTGACTGACTGCTCTGTTCTCCTATTGGCTGTTATTTGGATTTACATTTTATTCCACCAATCACAGTTAAATAAGGGATTGCTGTACATATGCAATATGTACGACACTACGACCAAAACCTATAGGTCTCCAGGAAGGGGACGCCTCTGGTAGGGCCCTTGGGAGGGCCCCTGAGGGTACCGTCGCCTTTTGGGGCGCCACTGCTTCTAGAAGATCCCCTGAGGGTACGGCCGTCCCTTGGGTCGCCACTGCTTCTGGAATATCCCCTGGGGGCACCGCTGACCCTGAGGAGAGCCTCTGGAAGCATCGCTTCCACTAAGAAGATCCCCTGGGGGCGACGTTATCCCTTGGCGGGCCCCTGGTGGCACAACCACACCTGAGAGGACCCCTGGGGGCACCGGTGACCCTGGGAGGGCCCCTATGGGCACCACCGCACTTGGTAAGGCCCCTGGGTGGGCCACCACCCCTGGCAGAGCCCCTGGGTACGCTGCCATCCTCTGCAGGGCCCCTGGGGGCACTGACACCCCTGGGAGAGCCTCTAAGAGCGACGCACCTGGTAGGGCAAATTGGAGGGCCCCATGGGGCACCATCACTGGATTGACCGTGGTGGCAGTTGTTTTTGCACATTTATAACAATGGGAGATATGAATAAAAACACCGGCCATCGCATTTCCAGTATCATCGCGCCATCAACAATGTAAAGGAGAATAAATATCCAACAGGAAAACATAAGTTGGGGTGTTGTGCTGACTGATCTGTTCTCCTATTGGCTGTTATTTGGATTTACATTTTAGTCCACCAATTATAGTTAAGTAAGGGATTGCTGGACGTATGCATTATGTACAACAGCACGACCCAAAGCTATAGGTCACTTGGCAGTGGGCTTCTCTGGTACGGCCTCAGGGAGGGCCCCTGAGGGTACTGTCGCCTTTTGGGGCGCCACTGCTTCTCGAAGATCCCCTGAGGGTACCGCCGCCCCTAGGGTCGCCACTGCTTCTGGAATATCCCTAGGGGCACCGCTGACCCTGAGGAGAGCCTCTGAAAGCGTCGCTTCTCCTAAGAAGATCCCCTGGGGGCGACATTATCCCTTGGCGGGCCCCTGGGGGCGCAACCACACCTGAGAGGTCCCCTGGGGGCACCGGTGACCCTGGGAGGGCCCCTGTGGGCACCACCGACTCTGGCAGAGCCCCTGGGTGCGCCGCCATCCTCAGCAGGCCCCTGGGGGCACCGACACCCGTGAGGGAGCCCCTAAGAGCGACGCACCTGGTAGGGCAAATGGGAGGGCCCCAGAGGGCACTATCACTGGATTGACCGTGGGGGCAGTTGTTTTTGCACATTCACAGGCATGGGAGATATGAATAAAAACACCGTCCATCGCATTTCCAGTAAATTCACACCATCAACAATGTAAAGGAGAATGAATATCCAACAGGAAAACATAAATTAGGGTGTTGAGCTGACTGACTGCTCTGTTCTCCTATTGGCTGTTATTTGGATTTACATATTAGTCCACCAATCATAGTTAAGTAAGGGATTGCTGGACGTATGCAATATATACGACACCACGACCCAAAGCTATAGGTCTCTTGGCAGGTGGGCGCCTCTGGTAGGGCCCCTGGGTCTGGAAGGGCCCCTGGGGTCACCGCTGACCCTGAGGATAGTCCTTGGGGGAGCCGTTGCCCCTAAGGAATGGCCCTGGGGGCGCCTTCGCCCCTTGGCGAGCCCCTGGGATCGCTACCACCCCTGCGAGGTCCCCTGGGAGCCCTGCTCCCCCAGAAGGACCCCTGGGGACTCCGCCGCCCCTGGAAGGGCCACCTGAGAACGCTGTTGTCCCTGGGAGGTTCCACAGGAGCGCCGCTGCCCCTGGCAGGGCCCCTCGGGGCACCACCACCTCTGGCAGGGCCCCGGTGGGCGCCATCACCCCAAGCAGGGCCCCTGGGGGTACTGTCGCCCTTGGGAGGGCCTGTTGTAGGGCCCCTGGGGGCGCCAACACCTCTGGGAGAGCCCCTGGGGGCGTTGCACCTGGTAGGGCAAATGCGAGGTCCCCAGGGGGCACTGTCACTGTAGGGACCCTTGGGACAGTTGCTTTTGCAAGGGTCAGGCTTGTATCCTCCATATCCGACGTCCCCTGCCTTGAAAGAGCTCACACTCGGTGTCCTTGTAGTGAACCAGAAGTTACCCCCAAAGACTATATACTAAAGACAGGAATGAGTGTAAAATAGTCGGTAATATACTATGCTTTTTATCTCAGCTGAGAAAAGATGCCCCGACCCCTTCTCAAGGCTTACAGCTGATTAGCGGTTTCAAACTTGTCTGATTTCGTCCTGAAGTAATGATGTAATTCTAAATGAGTTTATTCATAATCGTTGGGATGACCTATAAGGGCCTGTGCCTCTTATAACAATTTTTACTTTAATACTTACAATCATTGGTAGCGTTGCCGAGAGGAGGCTCGTGAGGATATGTAATGATAGTATCAAGTAATAGGGAAGAAATAACGGTAGATACTGTAGGTAAATAATAGACACAATATACAAATACAATATTTATTTAAACATTAAAAATGGAGGTAGGAGAAAGAATATATGTACCAACAGACGAAACTCTCGAAATTTGAGAAGCTGCTATACGACATTTAACCCATCAATATGTCTTCAAAGAGACCATGATGCAGAGAAAGTGGTGCTAGTGCTTCCAAGCATAAGCACAAGTCACTATCTATCCAGGAAAAGGGTGAATTTCCATGGTCCGGCACCGGTCAGGTCCCGAGGTTGCCGGACTAGAGAGGTACAACCTGTATCTGTTTTCCAACTATACATCTATATCACAACAGCATAATATCTAACAATACTGTTTATCTATTTACAGTAGAAAAGACATGTTCCCAAGATCTGTGAAGCCAAAAACTTACCATAAGTATTCACCTATATAATTGTACAGTATTTCACACCATCACCTAGGACAATGAAATCTTCAATAAAAAATTTATAAAGGGGAGACTCTCTCTCTCTCTCTCTCTCTCTCTAACATATTTTTTCAATCTCTATCTCTTTCATATGTGAGATTTGTGAACAATCCTTAATTCTTAGGTAATTTATAAAGGCCATTGGTGAAAATTAATTGGTGTTGACGGACTTTGCGATCGAGAAAGGCTCTCAGTTCTTGAGGACTACATTCCACAGAACCCTGGACAAACATCTTGAGCATGGCATGGATACGTTCAAGGGGAAGGGAGTCTAGGTTTGTCAGCATTCCAACAATGTATGACCAGAACACCTAAAGAATGAAAGAACATAAAATTATTAAATTATTTGGGAATGTTGAAAATGCTAAAAGTCATACAAATCATCCCCAGTACCTTGTTTTAAATACAGGAAGTACACTAAGATCTTGTATTTCGCGAGTAATATAGACTGGAAAAACTGCGCCAAATTCAAATTCACCAAATGCAAATACATAAACTAATGGGGAAAATAACAATATAGACTGACCACTCTACATCAACCTCTGATTTTCCCATTTATAACCTGCAAATGATACAAATTCTGCCTTTATTGACTTGATTGTGCTTTCCAGAAACTAGTTTTTAGGCCTTCCTCAAGTAATTTAATCACACGCTTCTTATCCTGCATCAAGTACCTGGCAAACTTAACTCCCTTATGATAGTCCCGCTTCTCCTTTTCCTTATTTAGCCGCATTGGTGGGTCTGTCCCACCAGCACCAGTAGAGGTAGAGGCCCTTATCTTGACTCGACAGGTGGTAGCACCACCCAAAAAAGCACACAATAACAGCCCAGGCGGTCACTAGGATTACGCGGACTACAAAGCGATAGTTGCGTTCTTGTAAACCTCTTTTACATTCACCACCGGCAATTCGATCACCAGAACGCTTCTTGGAAACATTCTTCTTACCTTGTCTTTCCGTACTCATCACTAACACAACAAAATTGGAGAAAATAGCGAAAATCACGGAGTGATTGACAGAAACTGCGCGATTCAACTGATCACGTGATGTAAACAGAGAGCGCTGGTGTAAATCGTTATTTATCCTCACTGTGAAACATTCTTTTCACTTATTCTTTTCATACAGTATTTATGGGTAACAGCTAATTTTGCAAAAAAATAAAAAATCAATTTACAGAGTACCTCTCAAAAAACACTTCCCAAACAAAAGACACGAATCAATTGAACATGTGATGTCGAACGTGAACTGTAAACATTGCATAACCCCGCGCCACGCTTAAAACGTTGAGGATGGAATCAAAACCTTGAGGATGGAATCGTGCTATAGCCAACATTCGTATGCAAAAGTTCGCGTTTTACAAACAGTGTTCCCCTATACCTGTACATCAATCGCACTGCAACCAATTCGCGTTGACTAAACAAGTGTTGTAGCAGAAATGACTGTAACTGGTATGAGGGCTGTGATGTCATTCAAGATGGTGGCCAGCACTCAACTGGCTGGATCTCGCGAAATTCACGATACTTTACGCCAAATATAAGACTTGGTTACATTAGATAGTGCTCGCAAAATTAAAAAACGCGAAATGAAATCACGCGAAATATGAGATCTTACTGTAGTAAAACATTAATATAAAGACATCAAATATAAGGTCAACACAGTACATCCTGTTTATATGTTGAAGTTTTGACTAAAATGATTATTCTGAAAACTTAATTTAAAAAATCTTTATACTGTACTTATACTGTACTTGCATGCTTAAGAAGATAACCTGAAACAATATACGGTACAGTATGATATATAGTTTACCTGCAGCTCCTCCTCTCTTTGGTCTTGTGCTGAAGCCATTACACTCTCTGCTTCATCCTCTTCTATTGCTGGTGGAGCTATATCAGGCTGGGATACACCCACTGTTGCAGTATGACCTTTATCCCCGAGCTCTTCTCCCTCCACAAGCACAAAAACATCTGATTCAACTTCTTGTAAAACACCCTGGCAAGGACATGGGAAATTCTCCTAATTAATTAACATAGTGTATAGAAACATGATACATCCATGCTAGAAGTATTTATAACGCAGGTAATGTTTAGCTACAGAACACTAAAACAGTAATGTTTGTAGAACTTTACCTACTGTCATCAATAATAGCTGGGGATAATATCAAGTCTACAACAACTCTTAGAGGTCTGCTACTCTACTGCTATCTTTCTCTGCTTCCATTCATTCTATCTATTACTCAGTTGCATAAATTACCCAGGAAACCCTCATCGCCTCCTTGAGTTAAAAGAAAACTTTCTTTAAGCTTTGGAATAAATAGAGAACAATATCACAGGTTAGCAAAAATAGTGCAGAAAATCACTGAGCCATAGGGATGATGTTTGTATCTCTGAAAGTTTGTAAGTTGAACATTCTTAAGTAGAGGAGCACCTGTACATTCCTCTAGTATTTTTCTTATATTGATTAATCCATTTATAAGGTGACAATGGATTTAAAAATAAGGAGGGGGGGAGGTTTTACCAAAATACAGAGTATACCCATGTGAGGGGGTTCGGCGGATTTTATGATACCCACGGTTAAAGCAGCAGTACGAGTGAATGAATGACAGCAAAAGAAGAAATAATCCATGTTTGCTCTTAGTACCAGAAACCATGTAATATCTTTTGAAAGTGTTTTATTTAATTATACTGTATATATAAAGTTACTAGCCTGTGTTTGCCAGAATGTAATCTTCCGTCTCAGAACGGTTTTCGGAACCTGTGTAATGGTGCTCAAGTCACCTATGGACCAACGACTTCGTTCTTGAAAGTGGTATATGACGGTGGCTTGTGTTGGAGTAACTGTTAGGTTCAGTGTACGATTTTTCAATTCAATTTCCACTTGAACCTGTGATAAATGAAAGTTCTTAGTTACAAAATATAACTCACCAAGTATCTACCACATGCTTGTAAGCAGTCTTAATATAAACTAAACATATTTATACCCTCAGGATACTTTCTCACAAACCTACCAAGGTATTATCATAATTATAGAAGTGAAATTTTATGAGCTTTCCAACGGTGGCTTTGGAATCTTTATAAAACTAATAGTGGGGAGGGTGAAAAGAGATAAAGGGACAAATACGATGTACCAGCACAGCTGACGGGAGGAGAATGACGGACAGCGGACCTCCACCCACTCTTTGATACTTTCTGGATGCTTCCTCCCGTGAGATCAAGTAGTCATCTATGACGCCCAAAAATTTGACACAATTATCTTGAAAACTTTTGGGGGCGAATTTTTTCAATTTAATGACGCAATTCATGTTACCGATGCAAATAGCGCTACCAAATTATTTGATGCAAGTCATATCATGATATGCGAGACAGCTAAAAGTGTATCCTATTCTGGCAACATTTTAACAAGCACTATGTAATCTCTCTATGATGGGAAAAAACTGAAGTTCAAAATATGTTATATTTTAAAACTTTCACAGATTTCCAATAAATTAACAGAATTTCTGAAATGCAGCATAAGAAAACAACAATTGTGAGTTAAACCCAATACTTTGGTTGACTCACCTTGTGCCACTGGTTATCATGCCTTGTGACTGACAAAATAATAGTGATTCACAAAAGTAATGTCCCTTACCACATGATTGTGGTCAATAAATATGCACATCACCAGTTTTTACTGAACTAGTTGCTCTCATGCATGCACTACAGAAACTCTTTAAAGCACTCAACATAATCCATCTATAAAATAAGAGAACACGCATGCCTTCATAGGAATTTATATGTCTCAATTTTGATATTTTCATCACTTATTAATTTACCATTTACTGTATAAATTCTCCAAAATTTTCTCTCATCTTCAGTGAACATCAAGCACTCTTAAAAGTATCATGTAATACCAAAATAACACACCTGATATTCACTATCATAATCCAAGAATTATTAGATAATGTACAGTATTTAAATTGTCCTTTAAACTAGTTAAACCTCAAAATCTTTTAGGAGTACAGTATTAACCCCCCTGATGCATTTTGTGTATCCTATGTAGTAAACAACGCCAGGGTGACCACTGCACCACATGTGGTATTAATTTTTTCCACCCATACTTTGAATTTTATTGCTAGACAAGACTCAACCTGTTTGATCAGCTGGCATCTATGGAGGGGGCCACAACCCACAAATTACCTCTAGCCCTGTCAGTGTCTTCCCAGTTATGGTGGAAAGTAGATGTGTGTCCAAGCGTCCCTACTCCAGTCTAAAGGCAGCAGCACACTGGGTATTTTCCTCCAAACGTGTTTGGCAAACACAGTCCGGCTAGCAAAACAAAGAGACGTTTTGTGTCACACTGGGATGCTTTGTTGGCGCGTCTGCCCAATGCAACGAAAACAACAACAAAGCGTCTAGACAAGGTTCGCCATGGATCCAGTTACTACAGTTGAGGCCTTGCGGGATTGTGCTAAAGTTCTTCAATTGCTAAAGCAAGTGAGGCGTCTGTGAAAGCTAAAGAAAAGACAAATGGGCGTGTCGTGAAGTTTGTTTAAAAGTGGCAGTAGATGGCTGGTCAAAGAAGACCCTGGATAATGATTTAATAATACTAAAAACGTTTTAAAGTGACGAATAAATAGAAATATGTCACCGTTTATGTGTTTTATTTTAAATTATGATTGTTTCATGATTTTTTCAATTTTTAACTTGAAATTATATGAAGCTCAATTGAGCACTAATCTGGCTAGCAAAGATCCCCGCCAAACCGTTGTCCATTTCTAGCAACAGCTGAAATCCTGCTGCTTGGTGGGCACTTTGGCCAAAGGCCAGGAAAACGGGCAACATGTTTGGAGGGAAATGCCCAGTGTGTCGCCACCTTAAATGCCCAAGAAATCAAGAAGAGACTGTAGTTGTCTGGTGGTGATGAAGATGTGGATGACCCAGAATATGATGAAATTGGTGTGTGTGTGTGTGTGTGTGTGTGTGTGTGTGTGTAAGCACATTCAAGTTAAAAATATTTTTGAGTGGATGTATATCCATGCTTACTGCATATACAGTATACAGTAAGTGAATGTATATGTGTGTAATGAAATGAGACACTATGTCAAAGAGGCATTGGCTACCTTGCCACAGTCGCAGTGTGCTTGTGGATGTGCATGCATACATCATGCACATGTGTGTAAGTCAGTGTAAATAATCACGTGTGTGCGTGTGCATATGTATTGTACCTGTAGATGAAAATATGTTTGTGTAAATCTACACAAATTTTTTTATTTATTGCATAAAATATCTTTTTCCATTGTATGAAACAAACTTGGAAGGTCAAATATTTGTTTATAATATTTTTTTTAACTTTTCCTTCACACTGAGGATACAGCTATTGTAGTGGATACTCTCCCCTACAACTGCTGATTGGTCACTTGCCGTCCGCTTCCCAGCCAATCAGTGGCGAGTTCCACAAATCAGCCCTCGCGTTCGAACTGCTCTGTGATTGGTCAGTTGCCGCCTTCATATCAGCCAATCAGCAGCGTTTCTCATCTTTCCACTTAGACTTTTGATCTGGCAGAAAGATATAAATACCCCCCTGCCTCACCATGAGGGCAGACAACACCACACTCTTTGGCAGAGAAGACCTCCTCTAAAGAAGCTCCTCCACAGCAACTCCTCTACTATGCAGCAACTTCCCAGCACCTGACTGCTCTGTACATATAATATACATAAAGAAAACGCCATTGTGAGTTTCCTTTTTCACCTCCATCCTTAGTGCGAGAAATTACACTACTGGCCACATACACTACGCTACACCATCAATCAGGATTTCCATCAAAGGGTTAAATAGTCATGTGTGTTACTGCAAAATACCTGTCCTAGGTGTGGCTTCCAGTTGAGCGTTCTGTTCCCCTTGAGGTCTTGGAAGGCTTCAGTGTAAGTGTCAAGCTCCTTCATTACTTCTTCAGGTAACTGAAGGCGTTCTTCCTTAAATGAAGGCCAGAACTGTGCAGAAAGGATCATACATGATACAGGAAACTTTTGCTTCTCTCTCCGAGGGTTTTCATCAGAATTAATGGAGCTGTTGATACGCTTGGAGTCTGCAACATCTTTCACCATCACCTCACACTTATGAAGTAATGCAAGGGTTTCTCCAAATCTGCAACAGTATTAGTGAAACTAAATAAATTTCTGATGAATTGTAATACTGTACAGTAGAGTTGCGATAATTCGCAAAATACAAATTAAACTTCTTAAATTCGCAGGTACCTCTTTTTGTAATACTTGTATACTGTATATACACACAGTGGTCCCTCGATTCACGAATGGTCCAATTAACGAAATTTTGGTTAACGAATTAGCTCCCATAAGGATTTTCAGTTCCATTAACGAACAAAACTTCGATTAACGAAAGCCTTACGAGAAATACGCTTTGTTGTGCGCTTCAGCTGATCAGCTAGTCCGCCAATACAGTAATTGGTTCTATGTTTACATTCGTTTCCAGTGGAATAAATATCAAGAAAGTTGTGCTCTTGAATATTTTTTGCATTTTTACATTAAAATTATTGGTCATTCTGAAAATTAGTTAACATATTGATAATATACAGTGCAGAAATTATTATGAAACATGAAGAAGGCATTAGAACCAATGCACTCTGTAAAGAATATGGCATGTCATCATCGAGTGCCTGTACAATCAGCTGTTTGATATGTAAACAAAGATGCCGGGAATATGACATACACACCCCAAAGTAAGTTAAAATACAGTAGTATTCTACTGCTTTTTATTTATTATTGTACAGTATACAGTACAGTACAGTACTGTATTTAGTTTATATTTAAAGTTTTGTTAATTCTATTACCGGTATACAGTACTTTGTATGTACTGTATATTTTTTCTGAGAGTTGGAACCAATTACCCAATATCCCATTGAAATAATAGATTCAGTAAGTTCACTGTAAGATGTGGGTTAATGTACTCGCAATGAAGTAGGTAAAATATTTAAAATACAAGAAGTGCAAAAAAACTGAACTGAAGAATAACCAGAAAAGAACCTCATAAAGCATTCAATTATAAGATGTGACAATGGGATTTACTGTACAGTATGGAGGCCAAAAGTGAAAAGTATAATACTGTACATATAGTATAGGGTTGCCATACGTCCATATTTTCCTGGACATGTCCTCCATTTAGGTCTCAAAATCTTCATCCGGAAGGAATTTTTAAAATTCTTCAAAAGTCCAGAATTTGAGCATCCATCATTTTCTCCAAGGAAAAAAACATGAAACTGTAATGACGGGAGAGAGAGGGGGAAGGTGGAAACCGTAGAGATCTCGTTCAGTTTTCGTCAACTGATAAGTCACTTGTACGCCTGTACGGTGTTGTCAACTTAGCTGTCAAATATTTGATTGATAAGGGAGTAGAAGTTGATGATGTGTTTTGACCAAGTTAGTAACCTGAAGCAGTTTGTGGAAAATTACAAGAGTGATGAAGAATTTAGTAATCTGCCAACACATAAAAAGTGGACCAGATACTTTGAAAAATCAAAGAACATTGAATGCCACTCAGAATTGCAAAGAATTGCACAATTCTTCTTTACTATATCATCTCATAATGCAAATGTAGAAAGAGTTTTTCACTGATGCAAAGTCAATGGACAAAGGAAAGGAACAAATTGAGTGTTGAAACAATGAAAGGCATTCTGACTGTACAGTACAACTTCCGAGAAACACCTTGTAGTGACTTCTATACCTTTCCCAAGAGCAATCAACCAATACTGAAAAAGATCCGATCTACAGAAAAGTATGCATGGGCACATCAAGTCACACACACAATGGGGGAAGAAGGGAATGAAGATGTTGAGCCTTAAGCAAAGGTAAATTTTTGTTTTGTTTTTTAAGATTTCTATACCATGTATGATGTATATTAGCCTGTGTGTGCCGCCCGGGGGTCTTCGGGAGCGTCCTCTTTTTTTAATGTTCAGACATGGCAACCCTAATATAGTACAGTACTGTATATAATAGCAAATTATAATATTTATTAATAATTTATTTTACCTGTTACTTTGCATTATAAAACTATGCAACACAAAGTCTAAAATTTTTCATTATATCTCCTAAGATATATCCAGGCTAAAAAGTCAATTACAGTAGAACGTCGATTTAAAGCGATTCAATTTAAGATCATTGATTTAAAGCGGCACCCACAAGTAAGGACAGCGTTTTAATTTAAAGCGAATCTTTCCTATTATGCGCGAGTCAATCTGGCGCATCATATTTAAAATTTTGCGCCTAATGTTTCTCTGGGCACGCTACACTGTCCTAAGGGCACAGCTGTACTGTACATGTACTCAAAATAATGTACTAAATGATTACTAAAATTTTTGTCTAGTGCAAACTATAGCGTGTTTATATTCAAATTAATCACTATCTTATAAGAATTCCAGCAATGTAAATTATATTCTCCCCGGTCACTTCTGTGACATTTTATAAGCAAAAATATAAACTCAATCTAAAGGACATAAATAAACAAATAAATACTTCACTCGACCTTTGGCACAACTGTCAAACATGTCACTGTCACTTCCCCCCCTCCCCCTCTTCCCAGCTAGTAAACAGGCCATTTTGCATCCCTTAATTTTAGCCGTGTTGATTTATGAGTGTCTGTTTTAACATAATTCTACAAAAAACAATGTTTTGTTTATTCTAAGAGATAGGCTGAGGTGCATCTGGGTAGACTCTCAGTCTTTTTAGTATTTTGTGTTTCTCTCAAGTAGCAAACTAAATTATTCCATTGAAATAACACTTTGATTTACTGCGAATTCAGTTTAAAGCGACCTCTCTTCGAACGTATGTATCTCGCGTTATATTGACGTTCTACTGTACATTAAAGTTATATTTTTAAAAACTAATCTCATATAAAATTGCACACACTGTATACGAAATTTCGTATCATGTGAACATTAAGCACCCCAGTTTAGTAGTCCTTATGATTCAACACCCTAATGCTCACCTAGCCCACCCAGGTAGCATGAGGGTGTTTAATCATCTGGTGAAATATGCTGGGACGCCAAGTCCTCATGTGATCTGAAATTTTGACATCCAAGTCAATAGGAGGGTTGCAAAAGAAGAAACCTTCACAACTGTTCATAAACTGCTACAGAATATATTGGATACTGTATAGTGTAATGAATAGGTGAATAGACTGTCATAAAGATGTGGAAGCTGAAAGGGCCTTAATATGAGACATCTTCCAATTGCCCAAAGATGGATAGTAACCATATAATGATCCATACCTAACCTTAAGATGCTCCAAGTATCTGATTTCTCTCTCAGTGTCATAACTAAACTGAGACAGTATACGGTCAGCAAGGATGGTGCGGTATTCTGTGATGAAGACATCTTTGCTTCCATAGATATTTACCAACATGGATATGATGTCTGCTGTCCGCTGAGATTTTGATTTCACTGTTTAAAAGAAAATTTATATATTAGGTTATGCCTGAAATTCTCATTATACTGTGAGTAGTGATGGGGTGTAGTATGAGTCAACAAGTAAATAGGTTGGATATCCCGTGTCTTGTGGAATGGGAACACCATTGCAAAAAACATCTTGTGCCCAAAAAATTCTTTATGGCTAATCAAATTTGTTATTTTCATTTCTAACAATCAGTCTTTATTTTGGGAATCAATAAATATTTAGTAAATGAACATCAATAATATAAGATACATACAACTATGTGCATGTACTGGATCAGGAGTCCAAGTCTCCCAAAAGTCCATATTGTCATCATCACTATGAGAATCGTCCAAGACTAATGGTGCAGCCACAAGCAATTCTTCTGACAGTTCAGAGCAACTCTCATCTGTTAAACTTGTTACAATATAACGTACTGTGTCTTCCCGCCCACGTAAGTACTGCCTGTAAATAAGTAATTAATCACATAAAAAAGAGAAAAGATAAATTGTATACGTACTGTAAAAGTATTTCTCACTGACACACAACCAGTTCATTGTTATCTAATGAAAATTATAATGAAAAATGGAGTTTTTATTTACCGAAACTGTATTTCAACTCATTGTTATTGGATTTGAAAAACAAAGGATTGAAGTAAAGAAATTCCATTTTTATGACATACAAAGAAACACAAACCCAAAAAATCTATAATGTTAAATCACCCTCGACTCAGCCTGCTTCAGCCAGAAATCTCTGATAATGTATGACAATATTTTAACTATGCCGCCTTTTCACCTAGTTGAGTTTTGAGAATGATTCTGTGGTTTGCTAGTTAAATCCATTTGACTGAAAAAAGTTCACACATTTGCCCTTTCAATTCCTGCTAACTTCTAATCCTGTACAAGACACAGACAAGAATACACCTAGGAAGAGCATACCTATTTGGGGGGTTTTGGCATTCCAACAACATGCAACAATATCCTGTCAGGTCAATGGGAATAGCTGCTTGGCAACAACTTGCAACAAAAATCAGGTTAAATGAAGCAGAACTACCCGGAAAGTTCCGGGTTTGAGGGATTCCGGCTAACGGAGATATTGCTAATTGAGCTTTGGATAAATTTCGTAAGAGTACAGTACAGGTAGTACTGTATTAGCAAATGGACAAGCAAAATTTTGTAAACAATACAAACATGAATTCCATTATTTCTGTTCTTCCATCACAGTAATATACAGTATCAAATATTTGTTAGATACAATAAAGGAATTGAATAAAAACATTTTCTTAATATATTTCAAACATATTTATTTAATTTTTATATATCAAAGGTCATATTGAAAAAGTGTGGAAATTATTCCAGTGACGTGGAAAGACTTTTGATATTTCCACGTCCATGACCGATGCGCAATTGTTTTCTACGCCATGCCCCTAAAATTCCACAAATGGCAACAGTAGTGCACAACTTCCACAGGGCTCGACAGGGAGTGATGGTAACAAAACATGTTAGAACACGATGGCCACTGTATTCAGCTATTCGCATGCATTTTTTCCATTGTTGATACAATTTTATTTATTCATATATAAAAGTAATGAGTAACGATTGGAATTGTCCACAAAAATAATGCCTTTACCAATACTATCATTATAAATTTTATTAAATAACAGCATTTCTGTAATCATTACCTAAATAGTAACAGCATTACTAGTAAAGCCATTACTCCCTACACTGGTAACAGAGAACTTAAAAAAGTGGAAAATTTTGTGTAGTTGGGAAGTATCATTAGCTGTGATGGTAGATAAGAAAAAAAAATTCAATAACAAGAATAGGTCAAGCAATAACAGCACATAATAATCTTAAAGACCTAATAAAAAGGGACATTATCTTCAATCTGAGAAAAAGGTTGCTTACAGTATATAGTCAGGGCTGTTGTTTGGGTCAGATGCATGGAAACTTTCAGCAGGCACCAGAGAGGTTAAAGGCCTTTGATATGTGGCATTTTAGGTGAATGTTAAAAATAAGTTACACTAACAGGAAAACTAATGAAGTACAGTACTAAGATTAGCAAAAGCTTCAAGAAAAATACCGGTACTTTAAATATAAAGATAAAAAAATTAGATACCTTGGTCATATAATTAGGGATGAGGGGATAATAAAAGAAATATTAATGGATGAATGAAAAATAAAAAAGTGGTCCGGAGAGAGATACAAAATTTTGGAGAATTAGTAAAAACAGCCCAAAATATTTAGAGCTGAGAACTGTGGTCATCAATCCTTAGATATCAGGATGGTACTTTGATTGATTGATAATGAATCACTGGCAATCCTGTAAGTAAAATCAGTGAATATCTCCAATATGAAGAAAGATAGGAAAGGGAAAAATGCAAAACACACTACCATAAAAGGCTGTTATGTAGATGTGACCATAAAGAATAGGAGGAAGTAATTGACCCACCATTCTTGAAAGCTAAAACTACTACTTCTACCTTCTACTGATTTTACAAATATAAGAAGCTTAAACAGGAAGCAATGGTCCCCAGTCTCCAAGGAAAATGGAATTGCAAATGCACATTAAATTAAAAAGGAAACAAAAAAAACTAATTTTAAGCTAATTCTTAAATCTTACCTTACAGGTTCTGATACGAGTTCTAGTAAAACTCCCTTTGGATCAAGTACACGTAGAGCCTTGATAGCGGAGATATAAGCATGAAGAACATCAGTTGTGTTGACTCCAGGGTGAAGGAGACGGGTCTGAAGAATAATACAGATATATCCATAAGATGGATCAAGGAGGTTTTATGATTGGAGACGGCACGGGTCAGAGTGAAACCAGTCGACCCATGCATTGCCATCTTGATATTGGCAAAATAATCACTACTGGCTACTGCTACCCAAGCACCAGGCAGCATAAATGTTCCTGACATACACTTATAAATGGTCAGTGATAGGCAAAAACGAACTGTGGTTTTATCTACAGGAGGCCCCCCAAGTTTGCAGATTTTTACTTCGCGGTTCTCGGTTATTCTCGGACGACACCCTGGATGTACCCAAGAATGTCCGTGGGTAGTTTTAAAGTTGCTTTAATAATACATAGAAAATCTAAAATGGGTCTCTTTTTCTTCTCAGCACCACAAAACTCTCACTTTTAAGCTTGCCAGCCATTTTTAAGTGAATTACAAACAAAAATTTTGTCAGTACACAGCGCAATCACTAACGTTGGGACTCGAAAATACGTTATTTGACAAAATTTTGGTACGACTGAGGCGGTCGTATGTCCGGGTGGTCGTAGGTCGAGTATGTCGTAAGTCGAGGAGTAGCTGTACAGTACTGTATTCTGGATGAAGAAACATATTTCTTTAACATGGGATACTTTTTCTCTGATCATATTTTCACAAAAAAACACATGTTAATCACATCTTCAGATGTAAAAAATATGCAGCCCCGAGGTTTTAATTTTATCAAAGAATGCATCAGGTTTTCAGTAGCAGCAATTAATGCAGTACTGTACTGCAAACTTTACAATGCAGAAATTTTCTAAATCTAAAGGTAGTACAGTACAGTACTACAATATTGTTTAAGGGGAGGAGACACTTCTAACTTGGAGTGGGACTTTTTTTTTTACTAAATTTTCCTAATTTTGTTATGTCCTATATGGGGTAACCTAAAATGGAAGTTGTGTAAGTTTCACTGAAATCGGTCATATAGTTTTCACGTAAAAAAATCAAAACTGTCAATAAATAAAAATTAATAGTGGTTACATAAAACAATATAGCACTTTTATTTTTAGCTGAATTTGCATAATCTTTGGCCTCTGTATTAACCAAGCCCATAGCTATACCATCTTCCATGCCAAATTTTGATATGTATACAATATTGTTGTCATGGAAAAAATAAATAAAATTCAGCATAAGAAGCAAACATAAATTTTATTAAATAAAAAAATCCTATTCTCATCTCATTAAAAAATAAAAAATGTACATGGACTATAAAATTCTGCTTCTTTTCCTCTTTCTGTACATATCTTTGATTTTATGATTCATTGAAAAATAAGGGACTAATTATGTTTCAAAGAACAATAACTTAGTTTGAAATACTTGTATGAGCTGTTTTCTGCGGAAGTATAACTTTACGATGACTACCTGCAAATACAACTAATCTACGGGTACAAGAAGTACTTTGGGTGGTGATAATGTTTGTTATTAGTTAGGATTAGGACTGGGTACGAATTTCTAACCAATCTTTTACAGGATATTACTAACTCAAGGTGAGGGTTTCAGAAGGCAGAACACAGGAGGGACACACAGCGCTGATTGTGGTGTTGAAGTCATAATTTTTTGCATGTATTTGGACACCATCAAAACATCTCTAGCATGCTGTGACTTCTTCGATGGTCAACCCATGATTCAGTAGCAGATGGAAGCTCCAGAGCTGCTTGAAAAAGCTTCGACCAGGAAAGAGAGAAGGGTACAGCGGAGCAGCACTCCTCTCGTGACTGGAGTCTGACCGACACTAACTTCCTCCCTCCTTCCAACCCCATGGTAACAGCCTCAAACCACTAGCTTCTGTTGCCAGATGTACGATGATGCTATTTTCACATAAAATAATAAAAATAAAAAAAATGGAAAAATATCAGATAAATGGTACAATTTTATAGTACAGTCGACCCTCGTTAATTCGGACTCCTTTAATCCGGATTTCAGATAATTCGGACAAAATCTGAACGAACTTTTTTTTTTTTTTTTTAGGAATATTACCTATGCGGACCTTAAGCTAAAATGCTGGTCCACCCACTGCTGGGATAAAACACCAGCATCTTTTTGGTTAAATGTAACATCTCCACCACTAGTGTGGGGGGGGATGCAACTTTTAGCTTCAGACATGAAAAATATTTACCATTTACTGCCAGTAAACAATGGAAACGTAAAATATGTACCAATTAGTAATGAAAAGTTGTGCAGTTCCTTCAGCAAATGAAGCTCACCAACTTACAATAGGCTAAATTACCTTACAACGTGTTTTCAGTAGTCTATGTTGAAGTTCTTAGCACAGGCTAACTTATCATATCATATACGGTATCACAGTTCTCATTGATCTACAAAAAATACCGGTAATAAAAACCTTTTCGATATTTCACACTTAATATAATACCCGGTAATCTACTTCAACCTCCTATTGTTTACAACGACGCATGACGCACCACCAGCTGTTGAGTATCAATCAGCTAGACGGTACACGTGTTTTTCGAATCGTTTTCAGTTAAAAAACTGTTACATCACACGTATATTTTACCTAAACTGCGCCTGAATGAATATATTCTAGGAAATAAATAGTAGTTTTGCTGAAACGTGATGTATTTTAATGTAAAATAGGATAAAATACATGACGAAAACAAAAGATTTTACCTAACCTTCCGATGTTCAAGAGAAGTTACTCGTTTTTTTTAATAGTTTTTGGTTAAAATACTGTTATATTACAATGGTATTCTATTCATACTGTGCTTGATATAATACATTCACGGAAATGTAATATTTTTGCTGAAATTACATACGTATTACAGTGGAAAGTGCGATAAAATCGTGACGAAAACAATGACTTTCGCTTTCGTTCGTTCAAAAGATGTTACCGTAATCGCTTTTCGATTGGTTTTCAGTTAAAAAACCGTTGTATTACAATAATATTCTATCCTAATTGACTTGAATAAATACTACGATACCATATTTCTGAATATTTTTATTAAAATCCATCCAAATCATTTTCCTTGTCATCGTCTGCAGCACCAAACAGCTTCTCCCAGTCCTCTCCTTGAACAGGGCTAGAGGGTACGTGTTTTTCGAATCGTTTTCAGTTAAAAAACTGTTACATCACACGTATATTTTACCTAACCTGCGCCTGAATGAATATATTCTCGGAAATAAATAGTAGTTTTGCTGAAACGTGATGTATTTCAATGTAAAATAGGATAAAATACATGACGAAAGCAAAAGACTTTACCTAAGCTTCCGATGTTCTTGAGATGTTATTCGTTTTTTTAGTAGTTTTCGGTTAAAATACTGTTATATTACAATGGTATTCTGTTCATACTGTGCTTGATATAATACATTCACGGAAATGTAATATTTTTGCTGAAATTACATACGTATTACAGTGGAAAGTGGGGTAAAATCGTGACGAAAACAATGACTTTGAAATATAATACAATATTAACCCCTAAATCGGTTAATTCGGACAATTGGCTAAAACGGACACCCTCCCCCCCCCTATTAGTCCGAATTAACGAGGGTCGACTGTATATAATATTTCCAATAGAAAACAGAGATTTTCTAAGGGAAGAGCGCTTCTTATTACTGAGAGATAATAATTTTTTTGAAACGGAAAGAATTGTCATATGAAGACAAGATTTTTACAGAAAATGAAGCACAGTTTCAGGCATAAGGAGGTATTTTTATCTCATTTTCGGTGGCTGGATCGAAAAATATAATATAATAAGCATCCCCTCCCCTTAAGCACAAAGATAAATGGACAGCATTAGGAATAGAAATTAATCATCATCATCATCTGTTGAAGTAGGTTTATAACCATCACTGATCATTCTATTTTTAGCTAAAGTTGCATTGATAGTCTCAGTAGAAGGGGTACAGCATCTATCTCTGTATTAGATACAGAGGGTGTGTGGGGGGTACATTTTTACTTGTGTACAAAGAAATATATATTCCCTTATGTGTTTGCCCTCAGGACAATTATTTATTTTACCTGTATTGTATATATGTATGTGTGTGTGTGTACACACAAAACACATACAAATAAATAATAATTGGAAAATCCTCTCACAAATAATCAGAAACAAATATACAGTATTAAAAATGTTGAGTCTACTACCCTCAAGTCCACTCTGTGCTTTATTAATAACAAAGCAGAGTGGACTTAAGGGTAGACTCAACATTTTCAATAAATTTGTTTCTGATTATTTGTGAGAGAATTTCCCATTATTATTTATTTGTATGTGTTTTATGTGTGTGTACAGTGGTCCCTCGGTTAACGAGTTCCTCGGTTAACGAGATTTCGGTTAACGAGATACCTTCCATAAGATTCTTAACTTCGGTTAACAAGCAATCTCTCAATTAACAAGTTTCTTATGAGCCGACCTCAACATGTTTTCGCTTGCATTAGGCGGTCCACCAGCTGTAGTATTAGTCCGCTAATACAGTAATCGGTTCTAGGGCTTATATTCCTTACCATTTTAGTAAATATCAAGAAGTTTATATTATTCAATAATTTTAAAAGTTAAAAATTAAATTTTTTGGTATATTCCTTACCATTTTAGTAAATATCAAGTTTATACCATTCAATAATTTTAAAAGTTTAATATTAAATTTTTTAGTCATTTTAACAATTATTGAACATAATTGAAGGTAAGGTAACTAGTTTTATGCACGCCATCCAGCCTGTCAACACAGCAAACAGGCGCCAGTCTCTCTGTCTTTTCAGTGGAGGTAACATCTTGCTTGAGACTCTCTTCAACTAAATGCTTTTTTTCTGTGTTTGCAAGCAAATTATTGGTCATTTTGAAATTTATTTTACATATTGACAATATATAATGCAGTGCAGTGTTGATTTAAAGAAAATAATCTTGAATTACACCAAGTGAAATAAAATTTTATGGGTGAAATGGCGCCATGGGGTGACTTCTCTTCCACCCCAATGCCTTCTCTTCTCCCTTCTCCTCCACCCCCATTCTAATTCCCATCATTATCATCATCATCCAGGAGCCTTCTACATACACACCTCAAAGTAAGTGTACTTTTCTACCTTTTTTGTTGAATTTAGGCAATTTTCGGTGAACTGGAACCAATTACTGTACCCAAAAACGCATTGAAACAATGGTTTCGGTTAACAAGTTTTTCGGTTAACGAGCAACCTTCTAGAACGGATTGTGCTCGTTAACCGAGGCACCACTGTATATATACAATAAAGGTAAAAAAAATTACTGTCTCTAGAACAAATGGCTCCCTGTCCTGGCCACAAAAATGCAGCAACTTTCAAACTAGTACCCTTAGACATTCTAGGGTAAATCCAGGGTGTCATCCACATATAATCGAGGTCTGCGAATTTGAAGGGCATGCTGTACCTACAAAATGTGAAGGAGTATTGACAGGTTCACAGTAGTTTAAACAACTCACTCCTACATTCAGTATTTGCCAACACCAAACACTTTCTTTTCATATTGCATAATTCCTATACAAAAGAAGCCATTTCACATTCAGAGTTATTTACAGGTAATAAAAGAGATACCTGCCTCACAATAAGGTTCTTGTGGAATCTGTTTAATTCTGAATCCTAACACAAACCTGACTCACAAGTTTACAAAATGAAAAGGATGTTCTGTTAATTTACCAGATACTTGACAAACATTTTCAAGTAGGTAAATTCACTATTAACTTTCTCCCACTACACACTTATTGGCATATTTTCTCCAGAATCACCCACCAAAGCAGTTTCATCTGCAACTAATAGCTAATTCACATCTGTGTTATAATTTTTCTGACCTGTATTGCTGATCGTAAGGACTCTACAAGGTGGTTCCTCAAGTGAGTACGATCCAAACATTCTCTGATGTCTTCTAAGGCTGGCTGAGATTCTGGGTATTCTGAAATTAAAACAATTACTATGTTTAGTATAATGGCAATGAATGAGATGACGCAAAAAGTACTATACAGTCCAGTAAAGCCTCTGATAACGAAGGTTCGACCAACAACTTTTCATATTTAAGACCCAAGTTAATTTAGGACCCAATTCAATTTACGTCCTTATTTCATTCACATTTACGAACAAAATATAATAAAAATATAATAAAATTACATTTTCATATAAATAATAACTAAATCCCAAAATGTATTAAAAAATAAAAAAATTACTGTAAAAAAAAAAGAAGAGCACCTTGCACAAAGAAGCTGCCCGGCTAATGAGTGGTAATGTGCATCACCAGTAAACAACAGTCGGAGCTTGGCGGTCCCTTTGTTTTCACGCATCTGAACAGGAACAGGAAAAAAACTTTCTCAGGTTTCTTACGACATTTTTGAGTCCCTATTCAACATGAGCAAGAGAGCAAGTGATGGTAGTGTTGGTTCAAAAGCTAAAAGAAAGTGTATAAACTTAGCTGAAAAACTAGATGTGTTAAAACGATATGAAAAAATTGAGAGGGGTGTGGATATTTCACGTACTTTGGGGATGCCAGAATCAATAGTGAAAACTATCCGTAGACATGTATAATGAGAATAAGAAAGCAGCTGTGCAAGGTTCTTAAGACAATTTTATTATTCGAAGGACTAAACCAACAACTTCAGCTACAGCATCAGCTACAGCATCAGTTACAGCTACAGCTTCAGCTACACCACCTACTTCAGCTACACCATCAACATCAGCTATAGCAACAGTTACAGCTACAGCTTCAGCATCAGCTACACCATCTACTTCAGCTACACCATCAACATCAGCTATAGCATCAGTTACAGCTTCAGCTTCAGCTACGTTGGCGTTGCGCAGTCTCACTTTTTTTTCTTTACCATTAATGGTTAGCTACTTCTATTGTTCCATGTATTAACATTACTTAAAACAACCATATTATTTTTTTACATTAATTTTACTTCAGTATGAAAGTATGAACGTTGGCCTTCTGCTGCCTCACTTTTTTCTTTACCATCACTGGTTACTTCTACTGCACATTCATTAAATAACATTAATTAAAAGAAACATATTTTTGTTTACATTATTTTTACTACAGCTACAGCAAATCTAACTTTCTTCAGTTTCTGATGGAGAACCACTGTCCCGGGTGTAAACACTGACGACAACACTGGCGTCCCATCTCCTCTTGTGTGACTACATATTATTAATTTATATTGTATAAGGTGCATTAATAACCATTATTTAAAGAAAATAGTTTTTATTTTTCATTAATTTTCCTATTGGGGGGGGGGAAGAGGGTAAGACACCACACAAAATATATGAAAAGGTCAGACCTTGAAGTGCATCTAATTATTATTGCTTTATATTAATGGTAATTATGGATTCATAATACGTCGATTCACCTTACACTGCAATATTGGAGGACCCATTACCGTCGTTATTCGAGGCTTTACTGGATACAATATAGAACAGTAATAATTCAATGAAGCATTCCTTTTTTTTTTAAGTTGGTCAAAATAAAAAAATATAAAAAATCACCCAATTTCTCACTTTCAAATATGAAGGAGTTACCTTTGTATTAATTTAAACCATATTAAACAAGCGAACTTAACTTATTCCTCAGCATATCATAGTAAAAATAAACATCTGCTAATCTTCTTTGAACCATAAAAGTAAACCCTGGTATCAAAATTTGAACAAGCTCTCTGTTTCCAAATACAGTACAAAGGTACAAAGAAGCATCTAACATGATATATGAAAATATATGCCCATCACTAACCGCTCTAGCTAATAAACACATGCTGTATATATATGCAGTACAGTATATCAATCAATCCACTTCAACGTTCTCAGGCTGTTTTTACCAATCCTCGAAGGTTTTGTAGCTTTCTGGGACCCAGTTTTTAATTTCATTCATCCATCCCAGTTTCTGCCTTCCTTATGCAGCATATACAGTGATGTCCCCGTTAGCCACAACAATTGGTGCAGAGCACTTCTGGGGATGAGAGATTTCCGGCTAACCAGACAACTTTCTCAAACCCAGAAAAATTCCTTATCCCCGGAATATTTTCTGGTTACTGGGAAAAGTTTCTGAGTGTCTAAACTAGACCTCTTGCACACACAGACATTAGCCCACTTCCCCAGAATGTTTCTGGGTGCTGGGGATGTTTTCCACGAGTCTAAACTACCAGAGTCCGTAAATGCAGTTCTAATTAAGTTAGAAACTCCATTTCTTTACTATAATAATCCAGAATAGTTTATCTAAAAGCTTGGTAAAATAAATATATTTGGAAATTAAAAATCTATATGATATGGGTGTGAATGAAACTGTGTTTCAGCAAAGACTGGTGTTTTCCACTCCCATGGAGCTGTGGGGGATTAGTGGGTCTCGTGTACCTGACCTGACGCAATGTCAGGTGGAGATAGGGTGGGGGATTAGAGGTCTCATATTACTGACCTTCTGATGGAATGTCAGATCACCCTTTCTTGGCCAGGGGATTAGTGGGTCTCATGACCTGAAGATGTCTTGAATAAACACAAAACCTAAAGTATTATCAGAGACATTGTGATAAGTATAAATGAGCAAAGTTGTATCCCTTCAACATTACATTACATAAAATTTTAAAATATGGAGTGAGAAAGCAGAAAGGTGTGTGTGGTTGTTGGAGGGTGTGTGTGTGGTTGTTGGAGGGTGTGTGTGTGGTTGTTGGAGGATGTGTTTGTGTGTTATGTAGGGGTGTATGTGTGATGTGTAGGTGGTGGTGTTGGTGTATTGACGGAAATGAACCTTGGGGGTCGAGCGGTCACCCCCCTCCCTCACTCAAGCATGGCCAATTGTGATAGATACCATAATGATTATTAATAAATTCTCTACGAAACATTTCCAATTAGATATCCTAAAACAAAATATTTTTATATGATATACGGTAGTGATGGAAATTCCATTCTTTATAAAAAAAAATTAAGAAATGATGATACCAGAGTCAATAAAATCAGTTCTAATTTCGTTAGACACACCATTTTTTGTATCAAAATAAACCTGAATATTTTATCTAAAAGTTTGGTTAAATAAATATATTAAAAAATAAAAAAGCTCAATATGATACGGGTGTGAATAGAGCTGTTACTTTTATCCTCTTCACCACTGATCAGCTCATAAGTCGCTTGGGCAATCGGTCACGTCTCTGTTCCACACTTCACTCAACTGACTATAATAATAACCAAAGCACGTTTTTCTCAGCTGAGAAAAGATGCCCCGCCCCCTCCTCAAGAGTTATAGCTGATTGGCTGTTGCAAACCTGTCCGATTTCGTCTGGAAGTAATGATGTATTTCTAAATGAGTTTATTCATAATCGTTGGGATGACCGTTTCTGGCGAGAGAGATATTTAGCTAAATTATATAAAGATACATACATTCATTACTTCAAACATGAGCACATAGGAAGTTTATCAGAAATCTTAGACATGAATTAACTGTTAAACTCTGGTAACAAATTCACACTTTCGGAGAACGCATTAAATATATACTTATTTTTGCCCACAATAAGTCATACTAAGACAAATTAGGTATCAGTTATACTACAATATGTAAAAATAACATTTTAAAAGATCGAAATCACATTGAAATATTACACAGACCCTGAAAATTTGGAGGCTGAGTCTGACAGAGTTGATCGCTCCAGCAAACAGCCGTCAGCAGAGGCGGGAAAATTTGAAATTGTTCTCAGTCATATTTCCCGCCTCTGCTAATGGTCGTGTAATATTTCAAAGTGATTCTGATCTTTTAAAATGTTGTTTTTACATATTGTAGTATTACTGATACGTAATTTGTCTTCGTATGAATTATTGTGGGTAAAAATAAGTACAGTAATCCCGTATTTTATTCTATGTAAAATATTACAAGACAATGGTTTAGTAGTGCTGTTAATGTGTGTGCTGTGTAAGTGTCTTGGCATGTCACCTAACCACCTGACTCCTGAACAAACTCATCAACTTCTTCAAATTCTACAATGTGCTTGGCAAGCTAAAAAAACAAAAAAAAAACACAGACACACACATGCACGCACGCAAGGGAATTAAGACAACAAGCATCCAGTGAGGGTCTTGTTGTGTGACTACATGGAAGCAGATTAAAAGATCAGCTGTTGGGGAGCTTATCGCTTGGCAACACTGGTGCATATTACCACTCCTTTCCACTGCATCTCTCTAATCACCCACACCTTTCTGCTTTCTCACTCCATATCTTAAAATGTTATGTAATGTAATGTTGAAGGGATACAACTTTGCTCATCTGTACTTATACTTATCACAATCTCCCTAAACATACTTTAGCTTTTGTCTTTATTCAAGACATCTTCAGGTCATGAGACCCACTAATCCCCCACCCAAGAAAGGGTGACCTGACATTCCATCAGAAGGTCAGTAATTGTCAGGATAGTTATTGTCATCTTTTATTGACTACAATATATGCGTAAGGTAAATTGCCATGTTGCCTGGTTAGGGGCGTCTGTCTGTTTCATTCAATTTAAGGAGTCGTAGCATATTTTCAGTGTCATGGGTTCGAGAGTTATTTAATTTCAAGGGATTTTACATGGGGACTGTATGAGTGAGCATTCGAACCTGCAAAGAGCTTGTGTGTGTGGGAGTTGTATGGGTGTATTCGAGACTGGTAAGAGAGCTTATGTCTGGGACGCCACCTCCCCCAACCAGCACTTACTCCACACTTCTCATGGTGGACGGACAGTTTCCTCCTCCCTCCTTATACACTGTTTTGTAAGTACAGTATTTAATGTGGTATCTAGTTAGGAATTTGTTACTTGGTATAATTGCCTGTAATTTACGTGTTTGTTTAATTCATTGTTGTGTGAAGACGAATTTGTTTTAAATCTACAGTTGGGTTGTGGTAGCCAGTTCACCTGTGTCCACTGAGCTCCAAATTCTTGAATCCTGCCACTTCTGTTGTGAGGCAGGACTTATTTAGCAGAGATCTCCGCCAGTGCGCTATAGGGCAAGAATTCCCCAATTCCAGTGAGAAGTGATGACTGGTAGACCCACCAAGAGGTTCCAGTTTGCTGTTTGGCCGATAGACTTGGCCCTGTCTTGCTTCTCTGAACTGGTACAATCTATTGGGATAACCTTCCTATTCATCAGGCAACTAGAAGTCCTTGGCTGTGCGACTCTGCCCTCTGCTAGTGATTCTACAGAACATTTCCTATTATACCATACTCCTATGTCTGGTGCTTGAAGTAGCTGGTACTTGGTGCTTGATACCAGTTGCTGTAATTCTAAATTTCTGTGTGTATGCTTGTATGGATGTATGGATGAGGCATAACTGGGTTGGTTATGGGTTATGTATTATTTATTTATGGCTATGTTTTGATTATATAAACAAAATTATCCTTGTATTTCCTTTTGATCTAGAAGAGACAATCCTGAGTCAGCACTAAGGTATAAAATATATAGTGGCTATAGAAGTTTAGACTCACTACCTCGGAACTTCGATTGCCTGGAGGTTGTAGAACCAACTGCCATCTGGTCTTCATGGACAACCTCCCTTACAGTAATATGAGACCACTAATTCCACACCCTACCTCCACCTGACATTGAGTCAGGTCAGATTAGTCCCCCACTGCCCAAAAAAATACTTTAACTTTCATCTTTATTCAAGACATTTTCAGAAAATTCTCTCAATTTTCAACCTCGGAAAATTTGTTCCTAAAGCCAGAATTTTTTGGAAAATTACGGCTTTGGGAATGATTTTCTGAGCAAATTTCAATTCCGGCTATCGGAGATTTCCAGGTTTGAGGGATTCCGGCTAACGGAGATATTACTATACAGTACAATACAGTAGAAAGTCGATTTAAAGCGATTCAATTTAAAATTATTGATTTAAAATGACGCCCACAATTAGGGACAATGTTTTAATTTAAAGCGAATTTTTCCTATTTTGCGTGAGTCAATCTGGCATATCATATTTTAAAATTTGCGCCTAATGTTTCTCTGGGCACGCTACACTGTCCTAAGGGCAATGCTATACTGTACATGTACTCAAAATAATGTATTAAATGATTACTAAAATTTTTGTCTAGTGCAAACTATAGCATGATTTATTTCAAATTACAGTAATCACTATCTTATAAGAATTCCAGCAATGTAAGTTATATTCTCCTAGGTCACTTCTGTGACATTTCATAAACAAAAAACAAAAACTCAAGCTAAAGGACATAAATAAACAAATAAATACTTCACTAAACCTTCAGCCCCAACTGTCAAACATGTCACTGTCACCTTCCCCCCCCCCCATCATCTTCCCAACCAGGGTTGGGTGGTTATAGATTAGAGTTTTATCTTATAATATCACAGACTAAAGTTAGGAGAATTTGCATTGCTAGAATCTAACAACAAGAAATAATTTGAATATAAACGTCACATATTTTGCACGAATAAAATTTTTAGCCCTTTGTAATAAATTAATTTGAACTAAAATTTGTATGTCTCATACAGCTATAGCATGTTTATATTCAAACTAATCACTATCTTATAAAATTCCAGCAATGTTAATTAAATTCTCCATGTCAGTTCAGTGACATTTTATAAGAAAAACTTAAAGTCACTCTTAAGGACAGATAAATAAATAAGCACTAGACCTTGCATCAACTGTCAAACATATTTCCTCACCCCCCCCCTCTTCCCATCAGCTGATCACTAGAAAACAGACCATTTCACGTCCCATAATTTTAGGTGTGTTGATTTATGAGTGTTTGTTTTAACATAATACTGTACTACAAAAAACAATGTTTTGTTTATTCTAAGAGATAGGCTGAGGTGCATCTGGGTAGACTCTCAGTCCTTTTAGTATTTTGTGTTTCTCTCAAGTACCAAACTAAATTATTCCATTGAAACACCACTTTGATTTAGTGCGAATTCGGTTTAAAGCGACCTCTCTTGGAACATATCTCGTGTTATATCGACGTTCAACTGTATAGATAAAGGAAATTACTGTCTAGAACAAATGGCACCCTGTCCCGGCCGCGAAAATGCCGGCAACTTTAAAACTACCCTCAGACATTCTTGGGTACATCCAGGGTGTCATCCGCGAAATAAAAATCTGCGAATTATCCAGGTGTACTGTACTTCTCTCTGTAACGGCACTAATCCTTATCCCCTTCACTACGGGGACAGCACTTTTAATATTTTATTTGGCTAGCGCCAGATGATTTATTCAGCACAGAGGGGATCCTGTACATAAGTGGTTAACATTTTCAGATAAACTTGACCAATTCTGCTTTTAAAAGTCCCACCACATTTATTTTAATTTTTCTGGTTCATTTGGTTTATCTTTCTGTACATTTCCATATTGCTATTCATTCTGTCTTCATCTTCTATCCCTTGCATTACCTTTCTTGGCCTGTCAACATTCCTTTTTAATATTTCTGTTAAGTTTTCAGTGAGCCTCACTTCATTTTATTGCATTTCCTTGTTTACTGGTATCCATTCTCTTTAAAATAAAATTTGTCGTCCACTCACTTTTAGCCTCGTTCTTCCAATGTCCTAAAAGTTTTCCCACTCTCTCCAATTAATGATAAGTTTTTCAGGAACCAAACCCTTTCATAAATCAGGGAATGCTTGTACTGTACTGTATATCTAGAACACTCTTTCTAAACATGTCTGCCACTTCCATTTTTTTATATTCCACATTCATGCCTCATATATTCTGACTTATATTCATGGTTCTTATCTCTTAATAGAAGGGTAAATATCTGGAATAGGTGATTTCAATGCTTATCCCCCCTATTCAAGGTTCACAAGATTATGTTAGGTGCCCACTCCTCTATAAACTTCAAAATAGCCTTTGATAAAATTATCAACAATTGAGTGATCCTACACAGGCCACTGGCCTCCTTCCCTCAGCATGGCCACCTCGAGTGGGTGGCCATTAGGTAAATAAAGTTAATATTTACTGAATCCCCAGACATCCCTGAAGGTTTCAGAGCAACTAAACATTAGATGGAAGATGTTGGACAGTGTAGGAGGAAATTTTAGAATATAAAACAAGTCTAGTTCACTGTAGTTCATAAAAATAGGAGCAAATCATTACAGCATAAGACTAATGATAATTTAAATTACTTATACAGTGACCCCTCCGTTAACGAACTCAATCCGTTCCAGAAGGTCGTTCGTTAACCGAAAAGTTCGTTAACCGAAACCATTGTTTCAATGGGTTTTCGGGTAATTGGTTCCAGCTCACCGAAAATTTCCTAAATTCAACAAAAATGGTAGAAAAGTTCACTTACTTTGAGGTGTGTATGTAGAAGGCTCCTGGATGATGATGATGATGATGATGGATGATTAGAATGGGGGTGGAGGAGAAGGAAGAAGAGAAGGCATTGGGGTGGAAGAGAAGTCACCCCATGGCGCCATTTCACCCATAAAATTTTAGCTCTCTGGTGTAATTCAAGATTATTTTCTTTAAATCAACACTGCACTGCATTATATATTGTCAATATGTAAAATATATTTCAAAATGACCAATAATTTGCTTGGAAACACAGAAAAAAGCGTTTAGTTGAAGAGAGTCTCAAGCAAGATGTTACCTCCAGTGAAAACAGAGAGAGACTAACTCCTGTTTGCTGTGTTAAGAGGCTGGATGCCGCGCATTAAACTAGTCACTTTACCTTCAGTTATGTTCAATAATTGTTAAAATGACTAAAAAATTGAATATTAAACTTTTAAAATTATTGAATAGTATAAACTTCTTGATATTTACTAAAATAGTAAGGAATTTAAGCCCTAGAACCGATTAATGTATTGGCAGACTGATACTAAAGCTGGTTGCCCGGTCAGTGCAAGCGAAAACATGTTGAGGTCGGTTCGTAAGAACTTCGTTAACCGAATTTTTTTTCGTTAACCGAATTGAAGATCCTTATGGAAGGCAGTTCGTTAATCGAAATTACGTTAACCGAGGTGTTCGTTAAACGAGGGGTCACTGTATAACACTCCCACTTATTTCAAATAGACTTTGTTGATTGGAACATAACTTAAGAAATAATATTAATAAAAGAACATTCCTCACCAATAACAATATTGAAGAGTTGGTCTATCCTTGTGGTGGTATAAGTGTGGTAGAGAGCCGTCATATAGGTTTGATTAAGGTTGTTAGCCACCATAGTCTGAATTGCAGAGTCAGCTGAAGAAAGTTGACCACGGCCCCCACAGTAAACCACTTCCAGCCACCCAATGACAACATTCTCCACCCACTGTCAATGATGTAGGAAAAAATAAAAGAGTGCATTGGAATACAGAGAATTAAGGAAATACCTGTACGAGTATATCGAAACTGTAAAATAAATTAACATAAGCTGACCTCTTTGACCTTGGCCTTTGACCTGCTGACTAGCTATTTCTTGTCTATTCATCAAGGCTTTGTGAGTCAAGCTTTATGGAAATGGCCATAGTAAAACTGTAGTTACTGCTTAGACAGCTGCTGAATAACTCAGGTGAGACAAATGTTAAATATTTCAGTTTAGTTTAAGAGAGCTGTAAAAATATCTCAAAAGAGACAATGACTAACATCTCAAGTATTTTAGACTATTGCTATGTGTCTTAAGTGTGAAAATTGCAGAATATCTCAAATGAGACAACTGTCAAGTATCTCAAGGACAAGAGACAATTGCTAAATATTTTTTAATACCAGTAAGTCAAATTAATATCTGTTAAGTACCTTAGCTACTGTCTAAACCACGATCAACTATATCTTCATTCATCAACAGAATACAATTATGACGAACCTTCTCCAGCTGGCTGATGCGTGACTGATCATAGGAGTCACGGCACGTAGCAGACACATGATCAGTGATGACAGACAGTAACAGGGAAGATATAATATCACCAGCAAGCCTCTCTAACAAGTCCAACTCTAACAACTGTCTGGTACACAAAATCAAAACATCAGGCCCCTTTGCAGATAATTTTCAATATAGGGATAGTGCTGTAAATATCTTAACTCTGTAATATATCAATCAGCTTTTATTTCAACACTTGCATTACCCATTCCTGCTTTAACAGATATATTCAGCTATGATGCTTCCTTTCCATAATATGATTGCAAAATATCCAGCATCACACATTTACCAATAATAAACTCATAAACAAACATGTTACTGTATATACCTGTTAACTTGGCAGAAAGTATTAGTAATGGCCTGGCAATGACAAGCATCAGTTGCAGCGTCACAACCACCACACTGCATAGCTTCATCTGTTGTTTCATCAGATTCCTCCACTGAAACCAATCTCCAAATTATTAGACTTACTTCATAATACTGTAATGTACATATAATTTCTATATTAATTACTGATCCACACCAATTAGCCTTACTTTCATATATAACAGGGTGACTGAAGATGAACACCTTCCATGCATGCATATACACACACAGGAAGAGGAAAAGATAAGAGGAGGTGGATGAAAGAGCGGAGGGAGGGGAGAAAAGACGAAGGGAAGGATATTTTGATGCTAAGACACCGAGGACAACAAAAAGAGGGGTTGAGTCTGTTCAAGAATGAAATAAAAGGGCATGTGGGTATGAGAAGAAAAGGGGAGTGGGATTTGAAAATGAAATGCCGAAGATAATTCTGGACACTATAAATAGAACAGGTTGCACTGACACTGTACTGTATACATTACAGTGAGTTCTGCTATAATGTTTTGTCTTGTAATTGCTCTATCGATTATGAATTAGGAACGATATTTGTTATAACGACGCTTGTTTTTATACGCGATTTTTGCTTACTACTTCTCAATTTTGTGGTATTAACTGTGAATATAGTAATGAAGAATATCAACAAGAGCGTTCTGGTGATAGAATTCGTTGACGTAAAAGAAAGGATATAACTTGAAGCTCGATTTTATCAACCTCAAAATCACCCTTCTCCCCCATCAAGTAAGTGTTACATTTATATGATTTCATTATTAGATATGAATGTAACATTTATTTAGACTGTGCTATCCTTTGTGTTAGGCTAACTACTAAATTTTTTGATTTGAGTAATCTGCACCTAACCCTATTTTCTCCATAAGCCCTGTTATTTCTATTACGCGATTTTCTATAACGCGATATTTTACAAGAACACAATTATCGCGTTAGAGCAGAACTACCTGTATTCTTTTAATTCAAACTATCAATTACTTTAGGGTTATTAGTATATGGTACAATTAAAAGATGTTACATCGTACCTTGATTACCAACTTCAGCATGGTAGAAGACCTTGAAAGCTGCAGAATAGAACTTGTGAAGAAGGTTTGTGAAGGAAGTTGGCATCTGGCTGTGTAACGTGGCCCGTAAATGAAGCTTGAAATGCTCCATCATACCCCCAGGAATACATTCTTCAAATTTGGCTCCAGAGTGTTCACATAACATTTCACATCTCATAACACGTCAAATGAAAATTAAGTTAGTGCAAAAGCAGAATTAATTTATGATACAAAAAAAGAATTTAAATAATCATACCTTTCAAGATATTACTCCTGAATTATACCCCCCTATGGTGTATAATATAGCACAGGATTTGAAATTTCAGATCTACATATATCTTTGAAACTACAGTACAGTATAATCTTTTATTCTTTAAGTCATGATGGATAAAAAATTAATGGAATAAAAAAGACAACCTAACCATCAAGGCAAAGATTCATGAATAAATACCTGTGTATCTGTGGCAAAAAAGAGACAGCACTATCATACAGTTCACTAATTGCTGTCGCCACTCTCGACATCACCTCGACACTCCCCTCACCTGGGTCATCATCTTTGCCACACCTCTGAGAGTTGTAAATAACAAAGTTGCTCCAAAACTTTGGCACGATTGATTGCCTGAAACAAAAAATGCTTTGTAAATCAAACATAGCATTTCAAGCAAGAAAAATTAAATTACAGTATTCCAAGAATCAATAGGAATTAAACATTTTTTACCAAAGATTTGTATTCACCATCTTTAGAAATGCCTATACAGGGTATTGTATTAACCTTTTGAACAAAGAAAAAATTTGTAGAATTTTTGGAAAAACACTAAGAGCGTGTACCCCTTTGATGATTTTCCTAAGTGAAAACACTTTTTCTCTTGCAACTGGAAATTATAATGTGGTTTACTTCAGTACTTTTAGTACATTAAGGATACAGTAACAGGAAACCACCAAAAATCAACACTGAATAATCATATGATGCAGGTAGTCAACCAAACAAAATTTCTGCACCCATACGGTGTTATACAATATGACACACCGGACCAAAAATTCTGAACAACACAGGTTTTATATGTGCAGTATAGTCTGCATTTACGCATTTGGTCATTTACGCGGCACCTTGCCAGAATGAAAATTTTAAGTTACGCGGTTCATTCCATCATTTACGCGGGAAGCAGCGCCTGGAGGGTGCGCATTAGGTCGCTCTTACGTTATCGCTGACGTCATATGACATACCGGACTGTGATTGGGCCACGCATCCTTACCTCCCTGTGCCACTTGCTGTGATTGGTCTAATGTAACATGACGTGCTCTGCCACCAGAGGGAAGAAGTCGCTGACCTAGCCGGGCCAGTCTCATTGTTCTCAGTTCTCCGTGTATATACTGTTCTCTCTTGTGCCCGCTATTCCCCTCACAATGGCTTCCGCTGGACCCCCACCACCCCCAAGAAACCTTGAACTACCTGGACCAAGCCATGGTTATGTGAAGGAAGTATTGAGTTGGGGGAGAAAATCAAGCTCATCCTTGACAAAGACACAGTCAAGCATCGGTATGAAGTGTCTAATAACCTTCTGTCGAAAATTATGGAGCCGTATGTCCAGATGTATCACGACAACATCAATGCTAGTCGTCAACATAGTAATATGGACTTCTTCGCCCGCAACCCACCACAACCACAGCCAGCCCAAGTCAGTGATAGTGACAGTGAGGATATGGACTTTGAGGGGTTTGTCAGGGAGGCCCTGCAAACCTCTGTGAATAGTGATAGTGATTCACCGGAGGGCCACTAATCTGCCCTCTGCCTCGGAACCAGCCGCCATCCACGTGTGCCAACCCATCTCTTCTACTAACGTAAGTGTTAAACACCTTTAGATTTGTACAGTAGTGTAGTTTTTTATTTAGATATTATGTGTGTGTCAATACCATCATAAAATTATGATGTTATTTTTACAACAAGGTACGTATTGTGTCGGAAAAAGTGGAGTTTGGGAGTCGGCCCAGTCTCTATTTCAATTAATCCCGTATGTTCTGCTATTTCGTTTACGCGTTTCTCGTTTTACGCGGACCTCCATGGGTTCAATTGGCCGCGTAAATGCAGACTATACTGTATTCTTGTTATGCCACATTGGTTACACAATACAACACATGTAGCTGGAATAACAATATGAATGTTGTTACTACAGTATTTTACATATTTTTTTCTCTAAAGGTCACTGGGTCAAGTATTACTGTAGCTACATACCAAAATTACAACTTTTGGTTTCAGATCTTTTATCATTATCTTGAAGAGTATCTACATTGAGATTTTCTTGAAAATGGCTTGCCATGGGGATTCTTTCCCTGAAGGAATCTGAAGGGCCACATCAATAATAACCCATGACCTGCAGAGAAAATGAAAATGTAATTTTTCCAGGAAAATCAACTGTTGTACAGATAAAGCTTTTCGTATAGTAGTACCTGAGAGCAACCCAGATGGCATCAAGTGCAAGGTCAAGAACAAGTTGGCCAGCTCCAAGCTGCTGTACTAGCCTTATCACAAGTGCCAGGTCATCTTCTCCATCACTTATCTGTAACTCAAAAAACAATTCATTGTCAATATAAATGACAAGAAGCACATAATATTAAGTCACTACAAATATTGAAGACTTTCTCTAATATTATAAGAATCAAAACAATTCATACAAAACAATAAAGCTGAGACAGACATGTGAGGTGTAGACAGCTTTACTACATACGGTATGCAAGGAGGAAGACAAACCACATAAAAGATATAGCGAGTCAGTTCCTTATTTAGCCAAAATAATTTTCAGGTTTTTCTTCAAATTTCTCATGAATAAAGAAAGACACTGTCACCCACACGATGAGGACAACGCCAACTTTGTTTACGTGAGGAAGAGGAGGAGTCCAAATGTTTCATAAACATCTATAACACTACTGTACCTGCATTCCAATTCATGCTCACTAAGAAACAATAGCAGCAGTAGAAACTTTTAAAATTTGTTAGTACAAACAATGATGATAAGGTATTCTTCCTTACTTAAAGAATGATAATACTGTACATAATAATAGGTAATGGAGCAGACGGCTAACACCAAGAGTTTTTTTATTTCGTTCATTATTTCTACAGATGTTCTTTGAACGATAGTACTGCAATAATAATATGACAATGCACAGAACCTAATAGAACCTGAATTAACCAACCTAACCAAAGAAAACTACCTTACCTTATCTAACTTCATAGTCGGGGGTTAATCAGAAATAATTTACTTTGATATATGGGAACAATGAAAGCAACTTTCTTTAAGCAGCTTGGTGTAATTTTGTTTTTTGTGGACGTGAGAGTACGCTCGGTTGTTGCACTCAAACAAACAAAGAGAGAACAACAACATGCACCAACATGGCAGATTTTTTGGCACCAATATTTAGGGTAAATTTATTCATTTCTTCACATACAAAGCTTGTGTCACAAGATCAGTTTGTTGCTGTGTTTTACTCCCAAATTTACCTCATCCTTCATACCCTACCTATTACAGGTGATTTATGATCATAAAGTAAAACAAAAAATGCAACTAATAATGAAAATAAAGACTTTTGTATCATTTTCATTACTTAGCATCATCCAAAGAACATCAGTGGAAAAATTAACGCAATCAAACAACTCCTTCTGGTGTTGGCCATCTCCTCCACTATTACCTAATACAGTACTGTACTGTACTATCCCCAAAAAGGACAATTAATAATAGCAAGATTTGAAACTTTCATAATAGCATTATTAGCTTATCAATATACACTAATGCAGCAATGGCTTCCCAACAGCAGCATTGCCACTGTCCTATCAACACACAACACTTGTAATGAATGTTATTACTGTACAAAATTACTATATATTTCGATTTATTTTAAGATAAAATGAACCAACAAAACCTACGAATCCTAGGATGAATGTCAGTCGCTTTTTTTTTTTGCCCACCCGGGCACAGGTCATCGACCCACAATGGGGCCTGGGATACGAAAAAATAAGAATAACAAGAAATTAAAAATAGAAAAGAAAAAGATTATATTAATCTACACCACGAAGATGCCAGAAAACCAGCTTTTTGAAATGAGACAGATTATATGCGTATGGAAACACAGAAGAAGGCAGAGCATTCCACAGTTTGGCTGTGTGAGGAAAGAAGGATGCACTATAAGGGGTTATTCTAGTGTGACCGACATCCACAGAGAAATGGTGGGCACCGTGGGCAAGACGAGTGTTACGAGCCCACAACCCTGCCGGCGGTACACAGGATGCCAAATCCACCGAACATTGCCCGTTAAAGTACCTGTAAAAGAGAGAGAGAGAGAGTGAAGCAACATTGCATCGAAGAGAAAGTGAAGAAAGATTATCGACTAAAGGAGGAGAGTTAATAAGACGAAATCCTTTGATTCCACCCTATCTAACAGTTGGACAGAAGAAGAGCCACCCCAGATATGAGAGCAGTACTCCAAGTTAGGACGAATGAATCCTTTATATACAGCATTCCCAGCTTTCAGGAGGCAGCTATGGCAATGTTGATGATGTGCAGCTTCCATGACATATTAGAGGAAATGGTGGGGCCTAGTATATCTATTTTAGAATTTGGCAGAATGATTGCATCCTGAAATGTGATTGGTGGGAGATCATCTAATTTGGAAAATGTAATTGGTAAATACTGAGTTTTATTACTATTGAATATAAGGAAGTTTCTTCCTCCCCAATCGGAGATGCTGAACAGATCCGCACAGATAGATGTAATGATATCAGCTCTAGAAACAGATCTAGTTTGAGAATTAGGGGAAAGGGGAAAATGTGAAGAAGAATGAAGAGCAGAATCATCAGTGAAAGAATGGATAGAATTAGTCTAAGTGTGAAGTAAATCATTGATAAAATGAAGGAAGATAGTAGGAGAAAGAACAGAACCCTGTGGGACACCACGATTGGTAGAGAAAAAGCAAGAGATCGATCCCTCGACAATAACTGCCATGGATCGGTTCTCAACGAAGCTAGAAATTAGAGAAGCCATAAGAGGGAAGTTTAGAAAGCAAAGACTAGAGCAATTTGTCTGATTTGCCGACAATATCTCTCAAAACTTTGGCAATTTATTTAAGCAATTCACGATAACAAGCATGCTCAATATTTATAGCCAACCTCAACATTCATAGTCAAACAAATACCATTATTTAATCAAATCAAGCAATTTCAGTAGGTTAATTAGGTCAGGTTAGGTCAGGGTTATATTAGATCAGAGTGGTAAAGATTTGTTTTAGGTCAAACATGAAATTTCATATTTCAATATATGTAGGGAGAAAGAGTAAAAAAAAATTAATATTTAGTAGTTTCCAACACCTACTTATATACAGAAGTGAGTCTTATTTAGGGAGAAAGAGAAAACTATAAAGTATTTATTCTACAATGTTTCCATCAGAATTTATATTTTTCAAGTGTTTTAACTGATAAAATTACCAACACTATTAGATGTTCAAAGTGGGCAGGACTTTGAAATATAGGGAAAATGTGGGGTAAAATACTAAATAGAACACCAAACAAACCTTTAGCAATCTTACCTAACCTTTTCTGACTTGTAAAAATGTTAATAAATGCTTTCGAGTCTATGGGTCCCACCTCAACTGAACATCGAAAACTACACCATCACCTACTAAACACCGAAAACACAAATAAGTAAAGCATTTTAAAGTTTTAGGATTTTAATAGGTTAAGTTAACTGAGGTAAGGTTTTCAAAGGTTTGTTTGGTTTTCTTTTTAGTATTTTACCCCACATTTTCCCTATTTCAAAGTCCTGCCCACTTTGAACATCCAAGTGCTGGCAATTGGGAAGATTAAAATTATCAAAAAATATAAATTTGGGGAGTTAATTGGATCTTGACTGTTACTAGTTTGGCACACAATTTTGGTCTCATTTTGCTCAATATTTGATGCTTAATGCAAAGGAGGGTTAATATTAATTAAATGGCTGTGACAAGATTTTCGAAGGGGGGGTTTCGCCAGTAGAGAGGGGTCGGGGAAAGTGGGAGGCAAAAAACAAGCAGGTCCTGGGAAGTAAAATTAGTTGCTCAGGACAAGGGGTAAAACAGGACCAGGGAAGAGTAGGTTTAAATGTATACTATACAAACAGTAGGAGCGTTAGAAATAAAATAGACTTGGTGAGAGCGGTTGTATGTACCGAGAATGTAGACGTCATAGCAATCACCGAAACTTGGATGAATCTGGCGAGCAAAAATTTTTTATCAGAGTACCACATAGAAGGGTACAACCTTTTTCACAAGGACAGGGAAGGTAGGAAGGGGGGAGGGGTCGCACTCTTCGTCAAGGATACATTAAAATGTTGTACTAATAATTCAATAAAGGGTGAAATAGGAACCGAGTCTGTGTGGGTAGAAATCACGGAAGGAAGAGAAAAACTAATTATGGGAGTGATTTACAGGCCCCCAAGTCTTGGCAAAGAAGCAGCTCAGCCCATATGGCAGGAAATGAGTAGGGCAGCAAAATATAACAACCTATGCATTATGGGGGATTTCAACTTCAGAAATATTGACTGGGACAACATTGTAGGCGACTATGAATCTGAAGACTTCCTAGACGCAGTACAGGACAATTTTTTGAAACAACTAATTACAGAACCTACTAGAGGTGACAATATATTAGACCTAGTATTAACAAATAAAGAAAATATTATCAGAGATATCACAGTAGGGGAAGAACTAGGTAACAGTGATCACAGAGAAATCAGGTTCACCCTAAATTGGGAAACGAAAAACAATGACAATATGGTCAGAGTCCCAAACTTTCGGTTGGCGGATTATCAGGGGTTAAGAAGGTACCTTGGTGAGGTCACCTGGGAACAGTCACGTCAGTTCCCAGTAGGAAGGGGTGAGGTCATAGATGACACAACAATTGATCATGACTATAATATATTCACTAGTATACTACATAAAGCACAAGAACAAAATATACCATACAGAAAAATTAGGTCAAATAAGAATGAGCCAAGGTGGATGACCAGAAAACTTAAACATGACATAGGAATAGAAGAAAGGAATATATAAGAAATTAAAGGGAGGGGAGGAGCAGCTCAGAAACAGGTATAATGAACTATCTAGGAATGTTAAGAAAAATGTAAGGAAAGCAAAGAGAGACTATGAAATCAAAATAGCAAGAGAATCCAAGGCGAATCCCAAGGGATTTTTCCAGGTATATAGGACAAAGGTCAAGGACAAAGTTGGGCCTTTAAAGTCAGGGAGGGGAGAATTGATAAATGGCAGTGAAGAAATAAGCAAAGCATTGAACAGCTACTTCTTATCAGTTTTCACAGAAGAAATTTGCGATGAAATTCCGGAGGTGGAACTGATATTTAAGGGAAAGGAAGAAGAGAAATTAAAGAATATCACTATCAGAAAAGAGGATGTTCTTAAGAAGATAAATAAACTAAAGAATACAAAATCCCCAGGGCCGGATGAAATTTTCCCTCGAGTCTTAAAAGAGTGTAGGGAACAGATTAGCGGACCCCTCGTAAACTTATTTACAAAATCATTAGACACTGGAGTTGTGCCAGAGTTGTGGAAACAGGCAAATGTAGTACCCATATTCAAAAAGGGAGACAGAGCATCAGCGTCAAATTACCGGCCGATCAGTTTGACGTCAGTAGTGGGGAAATTTCTTGAATCAATTATAGCAGATAGCATCCGATCGCATCTAGAGAAAAGCAAATTAATCTACGACTCTCAACATGGGTTTACAAAGGGAAAATCTTGTCTAACAAATCTGCTAACGTTTTTAGGAAAGTCTTCGAGGTAGTAGATAATGACGAAAATTACGATGTTATTTACTTAGACTTTAGCAAAGCATTTGACAGAGTACCGCATCAGAGGCTTCTGAGAAAAATTAAGGCTCATGGTATCGAGGGGAAAGTTTTAAATTGGATAAAATCATGGCTCACCGATAGAACGCAGAGGGTCACCGTAGATGGTGTTAAATCTGAGTGGGGCCGTGTAACCAGTGGGGTTCCCCAGGGGACAGTACTAGGCCCACTCTTGTTCATAATCTACATAAACGATTTAGATACTGGGATCAGCAGTGACATAAGCAAGTTTGCGGATGACACCAAAATAGGGCGGCAAATTAATTCAGGGCAGGATGCAAATGCATTACAGGAGGATCTAAATAAACTGCAGGGGTGGTCTGAAAAATGGCAAATGAAATTCAACACTAGCAAGTGCAGCGTACTTAATATTGGAAGAACAAATACTTATAATGTATACAGCCTTAACAACATCAACCTAGAGAAGTCGACTTGTGAAAGAGACCTAAGGGTACTTGTAAGCCCGGACCTACAGCCTAGAAAACAGTGCGTTAATGTTCGAAATAAGGCAAACAGAGTATTGGGTTTTATATCTAGAAGTGTAAGTAACAAGAGTGCAGAGGTCTTATTGCAACTATATCTTGCGCTAGTCAGGCCGCACCTCGATTATGCAGTTCAGTTCTGGTGCCCCTATTATAGAATGGATATAAATTCACAAGAGTCGGTGCAGCGAAGAATGACAAAAATGATTCCGGGACTTAGAAACCTTCCATATCAGGATAGGTTAAAGAAACTTAACTTGCATTCCCTAGAAAGACGAAGAGTGCGGGGAGATATGATAGAAGTATTTAAGTGGGTGAAAGGAATCAATAAAGGGGATATAGATAAAGTTCTTATAATATCCGAGCAGGATAGGACTCGAGCAACGGATTCAAGTTGGATAAGTTTAGGTTTAGGAGGGAGATAGGAAGAAACTGGTTCACAAATAGGGTGGTGGACGAGTGGAACAAGCTTAGCAATTTTGTAGTAAGTGCGGGAACTCTGGAAAGTTTCAAAGGAGGCTAGATAGATTCATGGATGATAGAGAGTGGTAGTAACTTTCGACAGGAGCTGCCATGCACAGGCCAACCGGCCTATTGCAGACTCCTTATTTTCTTATGTTCTTATGTTCTTATGTAATTTGGTTAGGTTGGGTTGGGTTATGTTAGGTTTCAACAGTGTTTTGGAAGTTGAAATACTCATGAGAATAGGTTTTTTGGTTGTTATTCTCATAACAAAATGGAGCCACAGCCATTAAACAAGTATTTATCAAAAGGAGAATCTTTTTTTGTGGAAACGCAAAAAAAAAAAATCAACTTCCTAGTTGAGAACAATGTGAAAAAACTTTTTTGGGTATTTTTGCATTTGTGCACACAACTTTCCTACCCAAAATTTATTATCATATTCGAAAAAGACGTCTAATTATAAGATAATTTTCTTCTATTACATTACCGTCGCAAACATATAATAACGGAGATGGCGCATGCCAAAAAACTTTCTTTATTTTCTTCTATTAACCTTCCACCATTATCGCCTAGATAACCTCCCACTCTGCGTGTCTCCTTCATAAATCGTCATCCGCATGCGTTCCCGTACACATGCAGCCAATCAAAAGCGTTTTTTTTTGTTGCCACCAATTTAAATGATTTGTGGTTTAATTTGCAGGAATTATGGCTTAATCAAATTCGATTTTTATTTTGGATCTCTCATATTTTGAAATTAAAATTCATTTCCGACCATGGAATTCTGCATTGGGTGTCACTTCAATTATATGGAGCTGATCGCTCATTTTGGGGAAAAACGAACAAGCTATAGCAATTTTTAGATCTCATGGTGTTCTCTCGACATCTTTTAAAGTGTCCTAAGTGTAAGAACGAGTGTAAATATCGTCAAGACCAACTTAGTTGGTATTGTAGTAACTCATTCTTTATTACCAAAACAAAGAAAAGACGTTGATGTTCGTACACCGTCACTGATTACAAAGGAACCTGAACTAGGTAAGAAATAAGTGATTTCATCATATGGTGAGGGTTAGGTTAGGTCAGATTAGGTTAGGTCATCAATAAAAAGGGTTCGGTTTACATGTTTTTCTTGTGATTTTTGGTGTATTTTGTATTCGCTTGGCCATGAGTTTTGTCGGAAAACGCCCCACCCAACTAAAAAAAAACAGGCAATTTCCGAAGGAAATCAAGGTCAAAACCAACCAAAATACACTAGAAAAACATAGTTTTGACTTTCTAACAGAGTTGTTTGCACTAATACAAATTTACCAAATAGCGTCAGGAGGAACTTACCGTTCACGGCAACATATCCACTGTCTACTGTACTGTTTATGGAAAAATCGAAAACTGGCTACTATCATAAATTGATTTTTTCCATAACTTTCAAATACCAATTAGATATTATTCACAAAAATTTAGCATGGAAAACCATAATGCTTAGTTACTTACATCAGATAAATTTCCTTCTATAAAAAAAGACTTTTTGATAACTTCCCATTGTTGTTTTGAATCACACTGCTTCCCCGCCGCCATGTTTGTTGTGGTCGGGGAGGTGAAGGACCACAGGCATAAACAACTTTACCCTAGCAAAACAAACTTCCAAATTCATTACAATCACCCATTTCTCTCTCTTATCTTTTTTTATCCTCTTCGCCTCTCATCGGCTTGGGCGGTCGGTCGCGCCCATTGTTGGCAAGTACTGGGCATGTACTGGCTCCTGAGTGTAATGTACAGAACCTGAACCTGTTCCAGTGCTGTGGTCAAGTCTGGTCTTGAGAGAGCTTACACTCAGTGCCTTCACAACACTTTCTGGAAGGTTGTTCCAAGAGTTCACAATTCTCACTCAAAAAATGTTTGCCCTCACAGTTTTCTGGATTTATGGCTTCTTTTTTTTCTTTTCTTTTATCCTCTTCACCACTGATCGGCTCGTTAGCCGCTTGGGCGGTCAGTCACGTCTCTGTTACGCACTGTTGGCAAGTACTGGGCATGCACCAGCTCCTGAATGTACCTGAACCCGCTCCAGTGTTGGTCAAGTCTGGTCTTGAAAGAGCTCACACTCGGTGCCGTCACAACACTTTCTGGTAGATTGTTCCAAGAGTTCACAACTCTCACTCCGAAAAAGTTTGCCCTCACAGTTTTCTGGACTTGCGGCTTCTTCAATCTTGAGCTGTGACCCCTTGTGGGGCGAGCGTCCGCCAGCTCCAAGTAAGGACACTCGACTGAGTAGTGTCCCTTGAGATGCTTATACACCTCAATTAGGTCACCCCTTGCCTGTCTGTAGTATAAGCTAAGCAAGTTCAGGCGCTCCAGTCTCTCAGGGTAGCTGAGCAGCCGAAGGGCAAGCACCAGTCTGGTGGCCCTCCTTTGAACATTTTCAACCAACTGACAGTCCCTAGCATATCTCGGGGACCAGACGGGGTGACAGTACTCCAGAGGGGGAAGCACTTCACTCCTGTTGACAACAAACATCAGGGTTGCCACTCAGCCACCTGCTGCACTGCAGTAGTCAAGTTATGTTCTATAGTGATGCCACATGGCCGAGATGATTAATTCAACGATTATCAGTGGTTACTTTTTTTTTTTACCTTACAGTAAGAGGACATCACTAATGTTCACATTGTACTTTGTTTTAGCGACTATGAAGTGATTTTTGCTTTGTTGTTTTTGTTGCGATTGTAAAGTGCTTTGGCTGGACAATGACCTTCCACATGTGGACTGTTTATATCATAGATTGGGGGGGATACCTGTAGTAGTCTTGAGTTTTGTCATCATTCTTTGGGCATATGCGCATACAAAAGTACGTACAGTATATTTATTTATTTCAACCCTCTTGCCTTCAACCCCTACTACTATAGAGTTCACACTTTCAAGTTTTACTTGGGTTCTTACTCTTTGTAATATACAAATTACAGCACCTACCATATTCCCTATACAGTTAATTTTTCATCCAGTTCATACCATACGACAGTGCTCTTCCTTCTTGACACTCCTCCTCCTGGCAGGTGCATCTCCCCAATACCCAAAATGTCTTACCTATATTCTTTTGTTTGACCTCCTTTCTCATCTTCATTCACACCAGTTGCATTTTATATATCTAATCTGTCTCCGACTCTGAGCTTTTCTGTCTTTTACTTGCTTACTCCTATGGGGATTTCATAGGTTGGGAGTGGATCACACACACAGCTTTGTTCTTGGAGACTTAAGAGGATTATACCTCTTGTCAGCAAACTTCAGTACACTCCCTACCCCAAGGTGTGAGGGAGCTGGATACAAAAAGGTAAGGGGAAATTTGGTTAAACTCCCATGCCTGGTGAACTGGTACAAAAATTTAGAAGCATGTGCACCACAGTTCCATGTCACCATTGCTGCCCCTGGTGATAAGTTAATATGGTTAGGCAAACTGTGACAACAAAAAGTAAACTAAAAATTTTAGCTTTATATTTTAGACAAATGGTTATCTTTATCAGATATGTTGCAATGGATGGAGATGTTCTTTAACAATTAGGACAAGCAGTGAGACACTATGATCTTTATCTGAAGTCCTCAATGAGCCCACCCCTCCCATCCACACCAATCAATGTGTTAATCTTACCCTTGATCTGCCCAACGCCACTGTTCCATAATGACCCAAAAGGACCTACCTCACGAGGCCACCAATTGAAGGTAGGATAGGTTTTGAATACACTTCTCAAGATGTAAATATGTACCAAAGTATGTTTGTAAAAATATTGCTACCTAATGTTTGTTTTAATACTTTTCCCCTTCTTTTTTTTAAGCCTTTGTACATATGGACTCACAGACAATCTGGCCAAAACCCCTAATAAGCAAATTTAATAAAAATTAATTCTTAAGATAAACAGATTTTGGGGTTCATAACACCAATATAAAAAATTGGATGAGATGCATAGTTTTTGATTTAGAGTGTATCTAAATACACTGCAAATACATGTTTTGGGTTCTGGATACCTCTGGTAATACTTAAAGTATTTGTATGTATTATTTTCTATCAGGTATTGCATGTTAGATACAAGAAAATGCATTAAATGCCATATGTTGCATATCCGTTGCGTGTTGGAAATGCATAAAGTTAACTATGAATTTCATCGAGTTCCATTATGAGAAGCATACCATTGCGTAGTGGAATACTGGATACATAGATAATTATTCAGTAAAGTGCAGATCCCAATATGTCCCTAATCGGCAAATAATGGATTTTGAAAACATAAATTAGCATTGGTACTGACTTGTCCGGTTTGAATATTGCGCCATAACTCCACTTTCTTTTGTCCCGTGTGTTGACATCACTTCAGCTCTCAATCTTATTCACCAATCATTTTAAGCTAGGTTCATAATCTGTAGTGTGGTTTTTTTTAAAGAAATGTACACCAATACTTTCTGAACCTGAAAAAAAGCAAATAAAACGTTTTTTTTTTTTTAGTAGAGAAGGAAAATCACCCGACACCCTGATTCAATCTAGAGGGAAAATACAACGGTTACCCCAAATTATATCAACATCAAAAAATGTTCGAAGGTAAACTTTAATGCAAGACTAAGCCACATACAAAATATCAAGGCAAAGAACCAATTACGACTAAATGAATTGGCTTTTTGCGACGCATAATTCTATGGTAGTCAGCTACAGGAAATTAAAACATAAAAATGCACAGGCACCATTGACAAAGGGAGTATTAGCACTCTTGGGGGAGCCTGATGTGTCGATGAATCTTCCTGAAGATGACTGAAGTCAACCTGCATATTGTAGATAATATTTTTAGTATAGTGTGACTGAGTGTTCATTATTTGTTGTTTGTAAGTGACCATAAGTTATGAATCTTAATGATAATGAGTGTGAGTGTGTGTGTGATTACAAAAGAACATAGTAATGTACTGTATATCATTATTTCTAATTATAATAAGCTATCTGTAAGATAATTCATACATATATCATGTTTACGTAATAAACTAAATACTGTCAACAAAGTGTGTCTTTTATACACCTTATTTTGACATTATATTCGTGATTATGAATATCCACAAAGCTGAACGAAATTGAAATCGTGTTTAAATGTCCGTAGAATTTTGTCCGGGATTTCTCAGTTTGGGAGTACTGTGCAACATTCCCATGTGCATCTTTACAATACTTCAAGCGCCTCCATTTTCCTGTAACTTTAATTTTTTTATTACCCGTTGTTCAACAAGGTTTCATACAAGGTATTTAATCAAATTAATTCAAGATAGTATACCTCTGAATATATATTTACATGGCAATACATTACATAGAAAATATATTTAAGTTAATTGCACAAGACTTCATTTACAAAGATGCACACACACACACACACGCACACACACACACAGAACAAGCAGGATAAGTTACCTGTAGTGGTGCAACAGCAGCAGCAATAATCCATCAGTCAAACATTAATTAACAGTAATCTGGTCATAGTTTCTGCTACTGACAGCTGAGAAGCTAACATCCAACTTCATTTTTATGTACAATACTATCATTAAAAGCATCATTTGTACAGAGTAATCCCAAATACAAGAACTTTGAGATACTATGAATGTGAGTGATAACTCTAGATCAATTGCAACAACTCATTGCACACAATTTCCCATTTTAAAATCTTCCTTGAACCATATACATACACTTTTTACTGGATTTTTTATCAGTTTATAAATGTTGCTTTAACATTCTTTACTTTCATCTTCCAGGTGAAACTTTTGCAATGTCATAGATCACTGCAAGGGTCAATCAAATATGTATACACTTAAGAGTAAAAAGTAGTTTCCAGCTACCATATGATAAATGTACAATGGAAAACCCGTCATTATATTCAAGTGCATCTCTTAGCCCACTGCATCAGTTCCTGGTTCAAAGATCCATTTAAGTGGAAGATTTCCTGTAGCTGTCTGCATATCACCTTTTGGGCTTTACACAAGACTTATCACAGTTTATGTATATCTTTGATAAACCTTATCACAGAGCAAGTTATCTCTGCATGTACTAATGTTGCTCAATAACACATATACTGTATATGGTATATGGCATATTCACACTATCATAACTATAAAATCACATCATTGTAGTAGGAAGTGAAGGTAGATTCATAAAAAATTGGCTAAAACCTGTTGATTTAGAATATATCAACAGTGAAAGTTAAAAAATCTGGACTCCTTCACTCGGACATGATCAATATTTATCACTGCTATTCACATAATGTTTGGCTTAAAATAACCTTTTAAAAAATTCTAAAGTAATATTTCTTTCTGACTACTTTATTTACAGCACACAAAGTCTTTAAAGTCTTACAATTTCAATACCTAAAAGTTTCTCCACAATGGGGGTGACTCGTACCAACACCACACAAGAGCAGGTATCAACAATTGCACGACTGCATGACCCCACAATGCAGCTGTGAGCACAACTCTCAAATTCCTCTACACTCAGTTCTAATGTTTCAATAGTCCGTGCAGAAATAATGAATTCTGCCTGAGTCATTCTGAGGAGGGTTAAGAGTTCTAGCATAAGGTAGTACTTATGAGGTCGGCCATCAATCTCATATACATCCAAGAGAGGTACCTCACTCGTCTCTAAGGTCACTTCCTTTAATTCCCCTTCTTCATCTTCTGAGTCATGATTTTCTTTCTTAACTGTGTTGTCACTCTCCTTTCTCTCCATACTTTCTGGTGCTTGTTTCTTTTCTACTTCTTCTTTGTTGTTCTCTGTCTTAGTTTCTATTGTAATTTCTTCTTTTTTAATTAAGTCTTGGAGGTTATCCACTTGAAGTAGTGAGGGGTGTTGGTCTGTCTTTGAATAATTGTTTTCTTCACTGATGGAAAGGTTTTCAGATTTTCTTTGTAAATTTGTCTCACTAGTAGTTTGAGCCACATCTCCACCTGGTTTTGTTATACTATTACTTTCAAGATCTTGTGATTCTAATTTTTGTTTGTCTGTGTCATTGGAGGATTTTAAATGCTGGCACAATGGTACACTTTTACTGACAGGGATATTGCTAAACAGATCACAGCCTTGCTCATCAGGATCTGCAAAGGAATTAGGATGCAAGGATTAGGACAAAATGTTCACATTTAAACCTACTAACATACCCTAATCCTTGGTGTATTTTATTTTGAGGCTTAAAATCTTTGATCTCCTCAATACTGTACTGCAGTTTTGCTTTATAAGGTGTCATTATATTTCTTCCACCCATTACAAAAGCTCTTTTCTTTTTATCTACTATATTCCTACAACTAAAAGAAAAACCTATTAAACAAGAATTTAACCCTTAGGCCCCGGGTGATGTTCCAGAACGTCCGACTGGCTAACCCAGGGTGACGTTCCAAAACACACACCTTTTCCTGCCACTGTTTAAATGCCCAACGCGGGTTATCAGGTTCCCGTGTGACTATTTGCCTGTCACGCCACATCTCGGCCACAGGGAAGCTTCCTGTATGTAAGTACCTACTTTTGTTTGTTTCATTTTCTTGTTTGTCCATTTTATCATGCTGTATCAAAGTAATATTGCTAAAAGCAGTGTAGTTGTAATTTAGTGTAGTATTACTGAAAAATAATACTATGATTATGTTATAAATGTATTTATTTCTGGAATTATTATTATTTTATGTATTACTTGCTATACCAAACACAAAGACAGCTGGTGACAGACCGTTGTGTGTCCCCAAGCACTTTTTATGAAAAATAATGCAAAAAAAAAAAAAGTAAATGAATTATTTATTGGAGAGAAGTATTATGATCATTAAATATATGCATTATTGGCCACTTCAGACACAGAGACAGGCTAAAAATAGCCTTCTTATCTCCCTCCCTCTTCCATGGTCAGAGGGAAGCTTCTTGATAAATAACTTCTTTTGTTTGTTATTTTCATTGTTTGTCTATTTTATCATGTTGCATCAAAGTAATATTACTAAAAGTTGTGGAACTTTATTTTAGTTTAGTATTACTAGAGGCAATTTTTTTTTCTTTTTTTTTCTTTTTTGTACACCCTTACATCCTGTGTAAGGTGAAGCACAGAAGCGTTTACAGCACCCAACAGGGGAGCATGCTAAGTTCATGCTTGCCTTTATGTCTCATGAGTTAAGAGAGTAGAAGCCTGAAGGGTCAAGGGTATAGAAGCCTGAAGAGACAATCGTTTTTGTCATCAAGTTATTGGAAGCTCCAACAACTTTCCCTGAATACGAATTCGCATCTTTCGATTTACGACAGGTACCTACTTAACTACTTGGTGAACAGGGACCAATTGGGGCTAGGAAGTATGTCCAAACAACTTTTCCACCGGCCCGGGAATCGAACCCGTGACACCTCGCTTGCGAGGCAAGAGCGGTACCGCTTCTACCACCGGCGCCCCCACTAGATGCTAATGATATGATTATGTTATAAATGTATTTTTTGTGGAATTATTATTCCGATAATTATTTGTATGACCTACGTGGTCTCCCAAACATAAAGCCTGACGACAGACTGCGTGTGTTTGTCGCTGAGAGCTTCTTATGAAGAGTAATGCAAATAAAATAAAGTATAAATGAATTATTTATAGGGAATAAGCATTATGATCAGTAAATAAATACATTATTGGCCAACTCGGACACAAAGGCAAGCGGGAAAATGACCCCGAATTGCGTAGTGACAGCAAGCGCTTGGTGTAAAAAAAAAACTTTCCCCTTATTTGTCTCGTCACTGAGGCGCCACGGAAGAATATAGAGGGACAATGTATAGTTTTTCTTATGTCTTTTTTATTGTTTTATCATTTAAGAAGGTTAAAATTTATTTTGATTAAAGTTGATTTTTCTCGTTTTACCCCGCGTTGGGGGTATGGCTGGCGGCACCCTAGCCCGGGGCGTAAGGGTTAAGATTTACTGAAAAAGTAGAGAGGGTGTACACACACTTAAGAAAGAAAACAAGACGAAGAAATCCTGAAGGAGTATTCCTAGTTATGATACAGGATATCAAATGGATAGACACACACAAAATTATAAATGCAATGCTGCATTTATCATAATGGTCTGATTATCATAATGACAAATGTAAAACAGATGTTAAACTTGTAGGGTTGCCTTTACATTGCAGGAATAAGTCATGCAACAAGACTCTTCAATCCTAAATAACATTTAAAATATTTATTTTGAAGACAATCTTTGTAAATAAACTTACCAAGGAGCCTTGAAGGGCCATTAAAGTACCACATTTCACCAGTCCGCCCCTTAAGATCATCTAGGTAACCTTCGATGAGTAGTGTGGTCTGGACATCAGCGGAAAGAGCAAGGCAAGTTTGGCCAGCATAAGTAGTGAGGGCAGGGTCAGCTCCATATGCCAGCAGGAGGCGAGCAAGTTCTCCATGCCCATTTTCAACAGCTTCATGAAGTGGCCTCATTCCTTTGTAACCAGGAGCATTGACATGAGCACCATGAGCACAAAGTACCTGAAAATATGAATTCCATCATGCACTGATTTCAAGAGCAATACAGTATACAAAGAAATCAAACAAATCCAAATTTCAAAGACTCTTTATATGCTACATGTATAGATTTTTGTCTCTACAACGGATATCTTACATAGATGTACAGTATAAACCTTTGGTCACACAAATCTTCACAATCATTTACATAATACTGTTGTACTACATGTAATAAAGTAAAATAGTGTCTTTAAAATCTTTGGTGAAACACCATATTCACTTAATATGAACATTAAGTTCTGGGTAAATAGGAAAGGCATTATTCTGTCAGGTAAGCCATACAGTAAAAACCCCATAACCCCACATTTGAAAAGTTGGCATGGCACTGAATTATCATTAAATTTTTTAGTAGTCGGAAAATTGCACTGAGTCAGCAAGAGCAGAGTTATGTGTGAGAACTTGGCAAGCCAGCCCATGTCAGCCTCCACAGAAGTTAGCTGCTTCATGGATACAGGCAAACAAATGTACAGTCAGGGTCAAAAGTCTTGAACACTTGACAGTATTTGGCATGCAAGTTACCAAAGATCTTAGGTATTCAGGAGAGTTTTATCCCATTTTGTGGTTCAGGCATAATATGTGATGACAAGTAGTGTCCATTGATCTTGGGATACTTTTACTTCTACTTGAGTAACTTTTGCCAATGTAACAATACTTTTACTTAAATAACAAAGTTCGGTACTTTTTACAACTCTGGCTATAAGTCATATAGGTTGGCCGTTTGGAGACACGGATTACCACAGGGGGCAAAGGAACACGTTTCCGCAACTGTAACTTAGGCTCATTTACAGGATCAAGAGGACCAAAAGTTTTCTTCGAGCCCTTGATATAGCACAGAATATTGTTCACCCCTACAGGACAAAACGATAAAAAGAGTGAGGTTTATAGCATAACTCGGTTGAAATTCAACTAAAAGTTCCTCAATTAAAGAAACCCCATCAAGGCCATTTCTGATACGAGACATCTTTGTCATAAAATACAAGGAAACATTTGAAGCAATCTGAGCATCTGAAATGGAAAAGGGCATAGTAGTTCCAGACCTCCCCTCCAACAGACCATTCCTAACTGCATTCAATTTTTTTCTGAGCACTGCCACAAGAGGTTACTCGACTTCTGTAGTATTCAACTTTGCGTGGCCTCACTAAACAAACAACAGCCCTATGCACAGTCATATACTTTGATCTAGTACGGTCTGTTCGCTGCCTACGCCACTCTCATTCAGTACTTCTATGATCCCTACGAAGAGAACTTATAGATGAGTCATTCTAAGGAGTCATCTCATACTGTAATTCTCTTTGTGACCTCCGGACAATAATGGTCTAAAATGGACTGGAAGATCATCGTTATGGATTTTAATCATCTCATCAGAGGACAAAACAGAGGGGTCGACCCATTTCAAAGTATGATCGACTTCCTGATCAATCATGGTCTGGTCAATATTTCTATAGTTCCTGAAAGTAAATGTTTTACTGTAAGAAGGGGGTCTTGGGACATTAAAACCAAAAGTAACCAAAGCATGGTTAGACGGCTGGATCAATGAGGTCAACTACAACATCTAATGCACAATCACAATCAGCAGGAGACAAAACTATGTCTAGAGTGTGTCCAGAAAGATGTGCTGGACACAACATATGATTGTCAAAATTGTTTAGATCAAGAATTTCCAAGAACTCGGAGGAAAAAGGTTTCAGAGATGGGATGTTAACCCAATATTTCAAGTTACCACAGATTCACTGCCCATTCCTTCCTGAAAAAGTCTCAAACAACCAGCCAAGTTGATCCACGAATTTCCTATTTGTACCTGGGTGACCAGGATGATACACAACTGCAATTCTAATAACTTGGCAATGAATATTTATTAAAGCCTTCAGAAATTCAAAGGAGGAAAAAAGAGCCACTACTAATCAGTCTAATGTTGAGCAGGGACACAGAATAGATCAGTGCCACTCCACCACCCAGAGTTCTTGTAGCAGTCTGGGAATATGAAGAGAATGTGTCTTGAGAAGAGCATTACGAATAATGTTAACATCTCATTCATACAACCACATTTCAGTTACACAAAGGATATCCAAGCTAAACTCCCTCAGAAACTCATTAACATGACACATTTTGTTTCAGATTGCACGGACATTAAGCAGACCGACTTTTGAAGAAGTAAAGTCAGTGTTTTCATTTTTTTTTTTATGTAGGGCAATCTTTATTTGATACAAAATAACTGACTGACTCGGGTGGTATTGTAAGAGTGGAATAATTTGCACAGCAGGGTGAAGTCTTATTTGAGTATGTCCATGACTCATGGCTGCCTGCACAGAAGGCACAAACTGGAGAACCAGGCTGTCAGGGATAACCTGAAGCAAGGTATCCAAATATTTGGCAGTGGTAGCAGTGAGTGACCCAAAACCTGTTATGTTCAGTCCAACATAACCATATCCTTTAAACTTTATCTATGGAAATTTGTATTTCAGGCGAAATCTTCATGACTGTGAGTTTACTTTATCCTGTTACCTTTCTACTGTATTAAAAAAGATTTTACAGGTATTGCAAATAATATAACATATACTACACTGAATTTACTACAATACTGTATACATGGTATTATAGTTTTACAAAAGTAAATTTCTATGAAAATTATAGTTTTCTAATATGGGTTTAATAACAAAGTCTATCAGATCATTCTCCTACACTTTATGTGGTTCACATTATGGGTGTACGAGAGAATCTTATGCCCCTTGTTTACATACAGTAACTGGGTCTGATGCTAAAGCAAACAAATTTCCTCCTTAAAACAATGACTTTTGGCAAAAAAGGCAAACACAGACCATTGTAAAAAAAAATATATATATATATATATATATATATATATAATGTACAGAATTAAGAAATATACCTGTGCAATATCCAAATGACCTCTGTTGCAAGCCTCATGCAATGGTGTGTAGCCTGCATTATCACGAACATTTATGTCAAAGTCTGGACTCTCTGCACAGTAAACAACAACATCCTGTGAAAGCAAAGATTTGAAACTTACAAACTATATTCCTTGTACAGTAATTTAAAAATTTTAACATTAAATACTTAGCAAACCAAATTTAATCAAACTGCAAAATAAGCCACCTTAGTTTGAAAAAATCTAAAGTCTGAATGTTGGTCCAGTAACTCATTAAAGTACAATCATTTACATTTTGAACAACAGTTGACAAAAGACCTTGGCCTTAAACAGACTTTGGTTTTGTGCTCTACATTTTGTCTAGTGGTGTTTAAAAACATGTCAACATGCCAACATTATGTAATTAAATACCAGAAATTCATGATCAACATCATTCACAATAAAAAGACAATTCCGTACAACATACTCAAGACAAACTAACACCAGTTTAAAAACCCAATATACTTGTACAGTACAGTATAGTATTATTTTTCCTGCCCACAAAGCTTCTGAATACTGTATGTGTCTTTCTACTTACAGGAAACTGCTGATAATATTGTTATGCAAGTCAAAAGGATTAGCTAATCGTTACTCTCCCTACCATGAAAAGATTTGGTGTCCCTAAATAAACAAAGAATGACTTACATGGTACTGAAGTCTGGCAGCTTTGTGCAAAACAGTTTCACCCAGCCCTTTGTTGACAACCCAACTCCTCACCTCTGCAGCCACATCCCGGCTTTCTTCAGGCCAATTCACATGCTTGCGTACAGGCTGTTGACATAAGAAAGTATTAAGAAATTTTATCCATATAAATTTCAAAGAATTTTTTTTTAATATCTATTAATTACACAATTTACAAGTCACTCATATATACTGTACACAAACCAATACAGTAGTTATAAGTACTATAATTCCATCAATCTAAACACTGATTACCCAGTTAGCCAAAGCAAATGGTGCAGAACACTTCCGGGAATGAGAGATTTCCAGAAAACGTGATGATTCTTTCAAAGCCGGAAAAAAATCCCTCATCCCCGGAATTTTAGGGATTTTTCCAGGTAACAGAAAAATGTTCTTGTAAATTCCAGAAATTGCATGTTAAATTATCTCTCAAACCCGGAAAAATTCCCCCATCCCAGGAATTTTCCGGGAACTGGGAAAATTTTCTCAGAATTTTCCAGAAAATGTGCCCCTCAGAGAAAATTCCAATTCCGGCTATTGGAGAATTCCAGTTTAGAGGGATTCTAGCTAATGGTGATATTACTGTATTTCATCTTCAAACTTAAATAACCATTGGCTTTGCCTGTCTACTTCTGAAAGTTTTATTTTTTCTCTTTTCCTACTTGGTACTGTATATCAATCGTCCATACATATTATTTTCATGTGATCCAATCTTCTGAAATCTCAAGTCTGAGTTTACCAAGAGTATATTTCAAAGGTTTATTTATATCCTAGCAACTGCAGCTGTTTCAAAAAATTCCTGGGTTTTGCTTATGATTTTTAAAACTGCAATCATACAGTAATACCTCGGTTTAAGCAGTTCTCGTTTACGCGTTTCCACATTTACGCTGTACCCCGCCAGAACCAGAATGCCCAATTTACGCGGTGCATCTACTCATATACGCGGGAAGCGGTGCGGGCAGGGTGCCCACAAGGTCGCCCAGTCATCAAAACATTACCGAGTTCTTCACCCGCCACCCACCACAGCCAGCCCAAGTCAGTGATAGTGAGGATATGGACTTATATGAACTTTGGGGGGTTTGACAGAGGCCCTGCAAGCCTCTGTGGTGGATAGTGATACAATTGATACAAGTGATACAGGTGAGGGCCAATAATCTGCCCTCTGCCTCGGAATCAACCCCTCATCCCCGTGTGCCCAGCCATCTTTTCTACTAATGTAAGTGTTAAAAAACCTAATATTATAGATATTTCTCTTAATTATTAATTGTGTGTGCATACCATCATAAAATTAAGATGTTATTTTTACTACAACGTAGGTATTGTGTCTGAAAAAGTGGAGTTTGGGAGTCGGCCCAGTCTCTATTTCAATTAATCCCATATGTTCTGTTATTCCATTTACTCGTTTCTCGTTTTACACGCTACTCCGCGGGTTCAATTGACAGCATAAATCGGGGTATTACTGTATACAGTGACCCCTCGTTTAACGAACACCTCGGTTAACGTAATTTCGATTAACGAACTGCCTTCCATAAGGATCTTCAATTCGGTTAACGAAAAAAAATTCGGTTAACGAAGTTTTTACGAACCGACCTCAACATGTTTTCGCTTGCACTGACCGGGCAACCAGCTTTAGTATCAGTCCGCCAATACATTAATCGGTTCTAGGGCTTAAATTCCTTACTATTTTAGTAAATATCAAGAAGTTTATACTATTCAATAATTTTAAAAGTTTAATATTCAATTTTTTAGTCATTTTAACAATTATTGAACAAAATTGAAGGTAAAGTGACTAGTTTAATGCGCGGCATCCAGCCTCTTAACACAGCAAACAGGCGTTAGTCTCTCTCTGTTTTCACTGGAGGTAACATCTTGCTTGAGACTCTCTTCAACTAAACGCTTTTTTCTGTGTTTCCAAGCAAATTATTGGTCATTTTGAAAATTATTTTACATATTGACAATATATAGTGCAGTGCAGTGTTATTTTAAAGAAAATATTCTTTATTTACAGCTAGTTTAACTTTGAAAAATACGTGTTGCCATTGTTTGAATCCAGCATGGGGCCTAAGAGATCAAGAAAAGCAATTTCAATCCAAATAAAGCAGGAAATAATAAAAAAACACGAACAAGGCATTAAATCAAATGCGCTATGCAAAGAATATGGCATGTCGGCATCAACTGTGTCGACAATTCTTGCACAAAAAGACAAATTTAAGGAATTGAACATGAGAGACAAATCTACAAGTGTTTAAAAGTAGATCCCTAATCGTAGAAACTGAGAGGTTACTTATCATCTGGATTAGGGAAAAACAGATGAAAGGTGATTCAGTTTCTGGTGATTTCATTTGTGAAAGAGCCAGGGAGATTTATGAACATTTAAAGGCAGATCAACCTGGTTCTTCAGGAACAGAATTTGAAGATTTTCGGGCTAGCAAAGGCTGGTTCGAAAAATTTAAGAAAAGAAGTGACATTTTAAGTGTTGTTAGGCATGGTGAAGCTGCTAGTGCTGATAAAGAAGGGGCAGCAAAGGTTTTAGTTGAATTTAAAAAACTGATGGAAGAAGAAAATTATCTTCCACAGCAAGTGTTCAATGTGGACGAAACTGGGCTGTTCTGGAAAAAGATGCCCAAAAGAACATTCATCACCAAAGATGAAGCCTCTTTACCTGGGCATAAACCCATGAAAGACAGTCTCACTCTATTGCTTGGTGCCAATGCTTCAGGGGATTTCTGACTGAAGCCTATGGCCTCTACCCTCCTGGCTTAAGTGTTCAAGCAACAGAAAGATAGTGGGGCTTGGAGTTTGTGGGAAGTCAACCATGAGCATGGTGACAAGACCCAGTTCTTTAATGAATGGGCTGTTGATGTGTTTTGCCCCTCTGTCAAGAGCTACTAACCACCAATAAACTTCCTTTAAGGCTCTTCTCCTCATGGTTAAATGCTCCTGGTCATGACCCTGACCTTGCCAACAATTTGGAGTATCAATTTGACTTTCTGTGAAAGTATTGTTTTGCCTCAAACACTACATCCTCCCATACAATAATGGACCAGAATGTAATCAGCAACTTTAAGAAGTTGTACATGAAAATCATTTGGGAGGTGTCATCAGGCAAGCACCACTGATCCTGAACCTTGCTGAAACAGTTCTGGAAGACTGGTCAAATCCTGGAAGCTGTAAAATTGATTGTGTCATCATGGCAAGAAGTCTTGACAAGACCCTCAATTCTTCATGGAAAGCACTGTGACCATCAATGAGTCCACCATGATTTTGAGGATTTGAGGAAAAACAGGGAGTTGGACCAGGAGAATTGTGTCCATTGGTCAGTCATTGGGCGCGAAGTGGAGGAGAAGGATGTGGAAAGGCTTGTGATGTCTCATGAGGAGAACTTACTCTACAGTGACTTGAAGCAACTGGATGAGATATTGCAGTTGAGGGCTGGCAGTGGTGAGAGGAAGTAGAAGTGATGACCATATGTCAGCTAAACAGTTGAAAGATGTGATTTACTGCTAGGGAGAGTTCAGGGGAACTGGCCAAAGCACCCAGAAGTGGAAAAAAACTGAACTAACTTTGTGTCATGTTGAGGGACTCAGTACAGTCTCCTTCTTTAAACATAAAGTTAATGGTGAGGGAGGACAGGTGCCCACAGACCCTGGTGACACTTTCTTCAGTAAAGGCAGGAGACAGATGTAGCCCTCAGCCTTCCGCTAAGGAGAGGATGTTCATGGTGGAGAAATCTGTCAGTCCAGAGGGTTCTGACATTTTCATGGAAGGTGACTCACACCTTCCAGAAACTGGCTCAAATGCTTCCTACTCACCTCCACTTCCTTCTACTATTCTTCCTTCTCCTCCTCCACCTCCCTTCAAATGCACATCATCATCATCATCCAGGAGCCTTCTCCTTACACACCTCCAAAGTAAGTAAATTTTTCTACCATTTTGTTGAAGTTACGAGGAAATTTTCAGTGAGCTGGAACCAGTGCCCAAAACCCCATTGGAGCAATGGATTTAGATCAACAAACTTTTCAGTTATGAAACACATAGACAGATTGAGTTGAATTAGCAGATACTATGTAATATATATATGTATATATATATATATATATATATATATATATATATATATATATATATATATATATATATATATATATATATATATATATATATATATATATATATATATATATATATATATATATATATATATATATATATATATATATATATATATATATATATATATATATATATATATATATATAATCACAATCTGATAAGATAAATCTTGATAATAAGATCGGTCTTTATTCAGATGTCTTGATAAAGTAGTACGATTATATATATATATATATATATATATATATACACAAAATGTAATTAACTTCAAATTAATCTACTGTACAGTACTGTACTCACAAAACATAATTTAATTTTCCAAACAGACAACAGTACATACAGTATAGTAAAGGTTAACTTACCAAGCGTTTTCTAGATGGAGTCGCTTCATCATCAGGCTTCACTTTTTTCTTCTTACGGATATAATCAAAACCGCTTCTGAATTTGCGGAATTTCCGTCGTACCCTCTTAGCTGCTCTAGGAACAGAAGACTCTCCAAGGACAGACTCAGAGCGCTCACTGCGAAGTTCAGAATCATCGTCCTCGTCTCCTTGAGCCAATACAGACCCACCAGGAGTACTTGCACGGCTTACAGGTACAGGAGAACTCTCATCTTTTACTGGGAGTTTTATATCATCTTTCTTCTCTGCTTTCTTTAATATTTTTTTAGATTTCTTAGCCTCAGCTTTCTTCACAAGATGTGGGGGAATGTCTGTACCAAACACAGATTTTACTGTTGCAGCATCTTGAATTTCTTTAGCTTTGTTGCGGGTTCTTGATTTATACAGGATTGGTGTAAATTCATTAATTCCATTTTTAGTCACAACGACTTCAAAGTTATCTCTATAGTTAGTAACTGTTTCTTTCCTGAAGAATGTGGCAATCTTAAGTTGATCAGGAGACATATCTTCAAGATCCTTCTCTGTTGTGGGCATTCCAGGTGTGGGCAAGAGTTGAGGTTTGTTTGTAGCTTCCAGTATTGGTCTAGGTTTGTTGAGGTACAGAGTGTTGAGCTTTTTGTCATTATATTTACGGCCAAACTTTTTCAATAGGCTGCTAGCTATTGATCTTCTAGATACTGGGATACTGTCAGATGCTGGGAGGTCTGTTCTCAGACTAGCAAGGGAGTCCATATCTGAATCATCACTGGCCATCATAGAGGGAGCTACTGATGGTGTTGGTGTGAGGCCTGTAGGAACTCGTTGAGTACCAAAAGCTGGGAATGGTCCAAGATTGAATTTTTTGGATGCAAGACCACCTTTGGTGGTATCGCTGCCTGCTTCTGCTGCTAAAACCTTTTCGAAAAATCTTTGCATAACACTGCTAATCTCTGGCCGTGCTGCAACCTTCAATCTATCATCCTCAGCTACTGCCATACTTGTCTTGATTATTCCAGATTTACTACGAGTATTTTTGGCAGGGGATGAGGACCCTTGTCTAGAAGGTGAATCTTTACCAGATTCACGGTCTTTACCTTTTTTGGGTGTACTTTTACTTGGCGAGACAGGGCCTTGGTGTTTGGCAGCCTGGCAGAGTTTCTTAGGAAACCTTGCTGTTAGTTCCTTGTATTTTTTTACATCAGTCTGCCATCCATGGAGGAAATCATCCCCTGCTCCAAATTGAGGCCTTTTCCAACAATGCCTAAAAGCCACCTCTTGAAGATTTCCCAGTTGTTTTTTTATGTCAATATTTACTTCATTCAGCCACACTTTCATTTCTTTGACATCATCTCTATTTAATTCTTCGTCGCGTATCTTTTTCAATTTATCAATCACAGAGTCATTCTCAAAGTCACCTTCATCTTCAAAGACCATAGCCTTTTCTTCCTCCTGTGTTTCTGCGTCATCTGTTTTTTTATTTGTATTCTCTTTATCTGTGGTTTCATCTCCATCTTTTTCCTGTACCACTGGCCTATTAGCAGCGCTTTTATCCTCAACATCACTCTTTCTCAGATCCTCACTCTCATCACTCTCAACTATAAGGTTACTCTTAAGATGACTTTTCTTCTTAGTTGGAATGTCAGAATTTTCACTGGAGTCTTCAGCAGACTTCCTGGTCTTCCTTTTGCTGCCTTTCTCTCTTTTCTCAATTATTTTCTTCTCTTTTCTCTCACTTGTTTCATCAGAGTCTGAGGAAGAACTTACACTAGTTACTCGCTTTCTTCCCTTAATCTTCTTTGATTCTTGGAGTTTCTTCTTCATGCCTCTAGTCTTTCTAGAAATTATTTCTGTATCCGACTCATCATCCGAATCATCCCTTTTGCGTCTTTTCTGCTGTTTCCTTCCTGTCCCACCTTTCTTCTTGCCCCTTCTTGTTTCAATACTCTCTTCTTCATCTGATTCCCAATTTTTCTTCTCTTTGTTTCTTCGATTCTTCAAAGGTATGTCTTCTGAATCACTTGAGTCTTGTTTCTTTTTTCTCTTCTTATTTTTCTGTGATGCTTTATATGTTTCCTCTTCACTTGATGATTTGTAACCCCTTCTTGTTCTTCGTCTTGGAATAACTTCTTCCTCTGATTCACTACTATCACTATCCCATTTTCTTCCCCTTCTCCTTGGCTTCTTTTCCTCCTCCTCCTCCTCCTCACTATCTGACCTCTGTTTTCCTTTTCTTCGTGGCCTGGCTTCCTCTTCTGATTCAGAATCTTCACTATCAGAGTCATCACTACTGATGCTAGAACTGCTGTCACTACCACTGGCACTGGCACTGCTGAGGGAAAAGTCAGAGTCTTGTTTGTTATTTGGTTTGTTTTCCTTATTTTTTCCTCTTCCAAAGCTACTTTTTTTGTTTTTCCTTTCTGTTTCACTTCCACTGCTTACATATTCTTTTGTTATCTTCCTTGAATGACCTCGTCTCTTGTCTTTTGATCTTATTTCTCGCTTCAGTTCTTCTTCAAAATCACTCGCGTCCTCGTCGGGAATCATTTCTGTGGCACTTTCATCTGAATGTGATGCATAAGTTAGGATTAAACGTTCAACCTTTTTATCCTTGATGCTCTTGAACTTCCCACGGAATTTAACTGGAGGTTCTGGTTCACTCTCTTCCTCCTCTTCAGCATTATCCATAGGAGGAGGCACAATGAGATCATTGTCAATAGCTTCTTGTATTTGAACTTTCTGGAGATATCGCCTTCCAAGAGTTTTGCTTTTCTTACTTGTTACTCCTTCAGGATTCATTGCTAGATCATCCATAAATTTGTTTAGACTGAAATCCCATTCATTTTCTTCAGAGGGTTCTTCCTTCTTGACTGCACAGGGATCTGGTTCATTTTCTTTCTTAAGTATAAGTGACTCGAGGCTTTCAGCACTTTGGATTTTCTTATGAAGCTTCTCTGCTAAAGCTGCCTTGCCTGGTTCTAGCACCTTGCTTGTTGACTGAGGTTGGTCTGATTTATTACTATCCTCTTCCTTGAATTCAAAAACATTTGAATTCTTTGACCTATCTTTGTAATCAATAACATGAGGAGTTTGGGTGAGTGGTTTTGTGCTTTTATAAGTTGAGTGTTCAGTTGTATCAGCAAGATGAGGTTGATGAATGCCCTGAACACTTGGGGGACAATGAGGCCAAGGATCCATTCTGACACTTGACTTGCCACTCTCTGCATTTCGAGGATCGAATGCTTTTTGTTCACCCTTTGTACGTATCCGTGATAAATCACAATCTTGAGGTGCTCTGGGATTTACTGAAGAAGGTTTAGGGTGGTGACTGGTGGGATCAAGCTGACCTTTTACTGGTCCCATATCTGGCCTGGTTGCAGAATATTGAGGATACATATACCCAGGGTATTGAGTGGCACCAGGAACATTTTCAAGTTTGACAGATGGATGTGGAAGCCTTGGAGGTTGATAATTTGGGTGTTGGGCATGGTGAGGATGACCCTGAGGAGGATGAGGGTGAGAGGGATGAGATAGATTCCTATGTGCAGGATGAGATGAAGGAGGTTGGGAAGTGTGTTGCAGAGAGGCCTGGTGGGAAGAGTACATGGGATGACCAAGCTGTGTTGGATGGGGTAAACGCATCTGAGAAGCATGAGTCCTTGGAGACGGAGGTTGAGAATGCTGTCCATGGGCTCGAGAATGATGAGCATGAGAGGGATGGGGTTGGGTTTGTACAGGGTAGGGATATGGCTGAGAGGGGTGAGGATGGGAATAAGGTTGAGAAGGATGGGAATGGGGATAAGGTTGAGAAGGATGGGGATGCGATGGATGAACATGGTGTGACGAAGGATGGAGGTGAGATTGGGCTGGACGAGGGGAAGTCTGAGATGGTTGGGTGGTGGCTTGAGAAGGATGTGGGAGTGATGGGCGAGGATGGGATTGAGAGGTGTGGGGATAACTCTGGGATGGGTGAGGAGGAACCTGAGAAGGGTGGGATGGAGCTTTGGAGGGATGTGGTGGGGGTTGGGTGGGCTGAGAATAGCCATGAGAAGGATGAGGTGGAACTTGGGAGGGGTGAGGATGGCGAGGAGTTTGAGAATGATGGGGAGGGGCATGGGAAGGATGGTGAGTGGCCTGAGAAGGATGGTGAGGGGCCTGAGAAGGATGGGGAGGGGCCTGAGAAGGATGGGAGGGGCCTGGAGAAGGATGGGGAGGCCTGAGAAGGATGGGGAGGCCTGACATGGGAGGGGCTTGAGAAGGATGGGAGGCCTGAGAAGGATGGGAGGGGCTTGAGAAGGATGGTGAGGGGCTGAGAAGGATGCAGGGGCTTGAAGGATGGGAGGCCCAGAAGGATGGGGAGGCCTGAGAAGGATGGGAGGGGTATGGAAGCGATGGGAGGCCGAAGGGATGGGAGGGGCAAGGAGAAGATGGGGAGGCATGAGAAGGATGGGGACGGACGGAGAAGGATAGACTGGCTTTTGGGAATGATGGAGAGGAGCCTGTGAAGGATGGGGATAGGTTTGAAGATATGGGTGGGTTTGAGAAGGATGTGAAGGTGCTTGGGAAGGATGGGGAGGGGCTTGAGAAGGATGGGGAGGGGCTTGGGTAGAACGAGAATGGGGTTGAGAAGCATGAGGGGGAGTTTGGTTGGGATATGGAGAGACTTGAGTGGGAAGGTGGTGTGCATGGGAAGGGTGAGGTGGTGCTTGAGAAGGACGAGAAGGAGCTTGGGAAAAATAGGAGGAAGCTTGGGAAGAATGGGGAGGAGCTTGGGAAGAATGAGTAGGAGCTTGGGAAGAATGGGGAGGAGCTTGGGAAGAATGAGTAGGAGCTTGGGAAGAATGGGGAGGAGCTTGGGAAGAATGAGTTTGAGATTGAGAAGAATGGGGAGGAGTTTGGGAAGAATGGGAGGAGCTTGGGGAAGAATGGGGAGGAGCTTGGGAAGAATGGGAAGGAGTTGAAGAATGGGGAGGTGCTTGGGAAGAATGGGGAGGTGCTTGGGAAGAATGGGGAGGTGCTTGGGAAGAATGGGGAGGAGCTTGGGAAGAATGGGGAGGTGCTTGGGAAGAATGGGTAGGTGCTTGGGAAGAATGAGGAGTTTGGGAATGATGGAGAGAAGCTTGGGAGGTATGAGGGGAGGCTTGAAAAGGGTGAGTTGGAATTTGGGAAGGATAGGGGTGAACCTGTGGTGAATAGGGATAAGCTTGAGATGTCTGAGGGTGAGCTTGAGAAGTGATGGACTGGGATAGGTGACCCTGAGTGGAATGGCTCTGGTGAGGATGGACCTGTGATGATTGAGTGTGTGTTGGGCGGGCCTGTGATGGATGGGCTTGTGGAGAGAGAGGCTGAAAGTGATGGGACTGTAGTGGATGGGCCTGAGGATACTGGTTCTGGGAGAGCAGTGAGTGCTGCTGCATATTGGCTTGGGTTGGGTGACCCTGAGGTGGATGATCCTCCAGGTGATGGGCTGAGCGAGCCAAGTGAGGATCAGTGGGTCGGGTAGGGTGGGGTTGCAATGGGTGGGATGTTGGGGTTTTAGATGGATGGCTAGGATGTGGTTGAGATGGATGAGGGTGTGGGGCGGCTGTTGATGGTGGTCTGGAAGGTGGTGTTAAATGTGGTTGGTAAGTCTGATGACCTGAATAGGGACTAGGAGGGAGACTTCCTGGATAGCTATGACTTGAATGCTGCACTGGAGAGTTTGTTGGAAGCCTCTGTGCAGGGTGTGGAGAGGACTGAGGAGTTCTACCCTGCTGTGATGGATGAGGAGAAACTCCAGGACGTGGAGAAGCTGCCACTGAATGTGGGGAAGCAGATGGATGTGGTGATGCTGCTGGATGTGGGGATGCAGAAGGATGGGGAGATATTGAAGGATGTGGTGAACTAGAAGGATGAGGCGACATTTGATTTGACCGCTTGTTTGGATACAATGCATGAGATGCTTCATTACGCTGCTGGGCATACATATATGCTTGATGAGCTGCCTGCTGCTGGCTTAGATGAGGAGGTGGTAGAGAAACTCCAGCTACTGACTTTGTGGTTTGAGGAAGATTAAAAGGTGACTGCTGTGTTGCTGACCGTTGTTGCTGATGTCTCTGCTGCTGTTGTTGATGGTAATGCACCTGACTTGTAGTATACTGATAATGATAGGATTGTGTCACAGATGTAGTAACAGGAGGCTGAGAAGAGTGACTACTACTGTGTGATAGTGGAACCTGTGGCGCTCTGCTGGTGGCTGGCTGGGCATAAGGCTGATGCATTTTGCTCGCTATTGAATATGCCACACTCACTTGCGGGTGGTGGGCAGAAATCGTATGGGTTGACTGGGAGTAAGGAGTCTGAGGTAGTCTTGTGTCTGGAGGACGTCCATAAGTTGAAAAAGGATGGGGAGGTTGAGCAGAAGGAACCCTTGAACCTTGCTGAGGTAAGGTGGTGGGGACGGAAGTTGGTATAGAGTACGGTCCTGGTAAATATTTTGTTTTATCACTGTTGGGTTTGGACTGCTCAGGTGTGTTTACCCACACTCTGTAAGGATCAAAACCATCTGAGTGTTTAGCAGGTATATACTTTGATTCCATGACTGAATTTAGATTCCATTTGTCTAAGCTTAATTCTTTCCTGTCATAATTTGAGTCTCTTCTTTCAAGACTTGAATCTCTTCTTTCAAGACTTGAATCTCTTCTTTCAAGACTTGAATCTCTTCTTTCAAGACTTGAATCTCTTCTATCAAGACTTGGATCTCTTCTTTCAAGACTGAGATCTCTTCTGTCAAGACTGAGATCTCTTCTTTCAAGACTGAGATCTCTTCTTTCAAGACTGAGATCTCTTCTTTCAATGCTTAAACCTCTCCTTTCTATATTGGGATCCCTATTAACTCTTCTTTCTAAACTTAATTCTCCCCATTCATTACCAGAATCTCTCCTTTCTATACTTGGTTGTCTTCTGTCAGACTCTCTCCCATATCTATCCTGTTCAGTTTTTAGTGTTGCGACCGCTAAGAGATGGTGACCACGATCAGCTATAGATTCTTTGTGTCCACTATATATAGATTTATCATGTGGATGACTTTGAAGATGAATATCAGCTAACTGTCGAGACGGGGTGGCTTGCTTGTTAGGTGGTGTGTGACTTCTTCGAGGTAGCTTCGCGTAGTTCTCTAAATATGGTGGGTCACCTGCCCGTTTGGTGGAAAATAACAAGTGAGAATCCCGGACTGCAAGAGGACTGGATGATGGCAGAGGACTAGGGGAACCATTCACCCCATAAGGGGAAGGTAAATGACTGGGAGGTGTTGCCCTTGGTGCCCCTGAAATACTTGGGGCAACCTTGGGTACATCTCTGTGTATTGTAGATGAGTCCTTGTTAGGTTTACTAGACGATGTAACAGGAATAGAGCTTGGGGTGATTGTGAGTGAGTCACTCCACCTTGGTTTTCAATAGCTACTGCACTCATTGGAGAAATTCTAAAACTTTTTTCAGGATCTGGAGCAGTTGAGTCTGGGGTCTGCTTCAGAGTCTTGACAGAAAGATCTAGAGCAGAATCTTCCTTTGGGCGAGAATCTGTCGTTCTCTCTGGAGGTTCTCTCTGTTTGTCCGAGGAATACGAGCTCTGAGAGCCATTTGGATATAATGGACTGCACGTGACCCAAAAAGGTTTCTACACTTCTTCTAATATAAGGGTCTTCTGATCGTCTAACACCTGTTATTTCTTCAGATTTCTTTCCTAAATAGAGAGCATCCTTGGAGCCGTTCACACTAATAGGGGTTATGTGGACGGATGGCGCCAGTCTCTCCAAGGGCTTGGCTTCAGGAGCTCTATACAGCGGACTCCACTGTTCATGATGGAAGTTCGCTCTTGGGTCTGGTCGAGTTTTAGATGAAAATTTGCTCTCCAAGTGACTTTGAGTATTAGAACCAAGAGACTGAGGACTAAATGGATGAGGATATGCCCTCAAGTCACTGGAAGGAGCAGACTGGGTACTAAAAGGTCGTATAGGAATTTTTGAGTCTCCTTTGAGGGTAGACTGTGTGTTATATGGTCGAGTAGGCCGTAGTTCTGCTGCACTGGGAGCTTGGGTTATGGACGACCAAGAGTGCGACTTTCTGCAGATACAGACGATTGTGTATTGTATGGTCGATTTAGTATGCGAGGATCTATTACATGAGATGGTTGGCTGCTGTATGAGCGGGATGATGTCCGTGGGTCATATAAAGGATTTGAGGGCCGTGTGGTAGCTGCTGGTGCTGATACCTGGTGGCGGAAATACCGACAGCCACGAAGCGTGCCTCATTAGAAGTTTTGGTGGTTTGTGGTTGTAGGAAAGTGGCAACACTATACGGTGAGGCAGCTTGTGTATGATCTGGAAGTTTATGTGAGGGAGTATGGTGTGATGGGGCGGCTAGGAGGCAGCAGACCAGGAAGGCTAGTGGTAGGCGCTGCCTCGTTACACCTGCAGGGTGCTGGTATGGGTGGTAGGCATGAGCAGGTGGCAGTGTGGGCGTGGCTGGGGGTGTGGGTGTGGGTGGAGCATGAGTCTGGTCCTCCAGCGTGGATCCATCATATCCACGGGTGGTGGCGGGCAACCCTTGGAAGAACGGTCGAGTGTTGCCCAGAAGAGTCCATCTGCGAAAAAAAAAATATATAAATATATATACTGTATATATATTCATCAAGATATACTGTATTGGGAACCTGGAATATATAAATTAGTAACAAAATCTTACTATAGAAAATAATGATTAATATTAACTAAGACGGATGAGGTTGAGTCCCTGACGCCACCTGGACACCTGTTATCAGAGCTTAAATAGGTTAAGTTAAGATGCTTCACATCTCTTAAGTCCCAGGTAAATTTAGTGTATGAGACTTCAGGCAGGGGATGTCAGGGTCACAAGACACATCAGGGTCACAGTCAAGACACATCAGGGTCACAGTCCAAGACACATCAGGGTCACAGCCAAGACACATCAGGGTCACAGTTAAGACACATCAGGGTCACATCAAGACACATCAGGGTCAGATCAAGACACATCAGGGTCACAGCCAAGACATCAGGTCACAGCCAAGACACATCAGGGTCACATCAAGACACATCAGGGTCACAGCCAAGACACATCAGGGTCACAGCCAAGACACATCGGTCACAGCCAAGACACATCAGGGTCACAGCCAAGACACATCAGGGTCAGAATTCAGAAGACACATCAGGGTCACAGCCAAGACACATCAGGGTCACAGCCAAGACACATCAGGGTCACAGTCAAGACACATCAGGGTCACAGCCAAGACACATCAGGGTCACAGTCAAGACACATCAGGTACACAGCCATGACACATCAGGGTCACAGCCAAGATACATCAGGGTCACAGTCAAGATACATCAGGGTCACAGTCAAGATACATCAGGTACACAGCCATGACACATCACGAGACAGTGTCCATCAGTTGCACGTTTTCTCTCTCTCTCACTTAATCATCATCTCTTCAAAACCTTCTAGATAATGTCGTTACCTCTCCCCCATCTCATTATGTTAACACCACCAGTCCTAAGTCTGGCGCCTTATTTCTCTCAATCCCTGTCCACGTCCACGGGTTAATCAGCGAATCACGTGAAGATTAGGCACCTCAGCTTACTTCGCGTGATGATTACACACCCTCACTACATCTAACATAGTATAATCTAACCAAATCTATCGTATCCTAACATAATTTATCCTAGTCTAACAATCTATCCTAACCCAAAATATCCTATCCTAAGGTAATCTAACCCCCCTCCCCCCAGGTAGTGTTAGAGTGTTAAGCCGGCAGGTGAAAGAAGCTGGGAGATGCTTTTGGGCTACCCTGTATTATGTTATTAGTACCTCTAGCCTTGTGGTATTTGTTATCATACTTCCCTTTTTGTGTTATGTTATTACTGTCACAATCAATAGGTACTTAACATAATGTCTAATCTTCTGTGTTTTCTTAATCATTAGTTATCACCGCCATCATCAGATACACAATACTATAACTGTCCTTATCTCGTGTTATCACTTGTCATAACACCCATATAATAATAACATCTGGTGTTCTGTTATCTTATTTGTTTGTAATTAATCACATTTACCAAGCAAATAATTCACTAACTGGTGTAAGTTATCATATCATGTTATCATTCCGAGTCTCTGGAGAATCCTCTAACGCGTGTTATATTAGTTATATCGGTAACTTCTATCCTAATCGTCCTCACACAATCCACTGAATGTCTGGCCTGTTATCGAGCCGATGTCACTGGCGTCACGACCTGAATTGCACATATTATCATGGAGAAGTAAACTGCTATCTCCATTATCACCAGCCATGAGATGATATCACTCGACTGCTGTTCGTGTTATCATGATGAAATAAACCAATATCACTTCACCACCATCCCAACGCGTTAGTTATTATGACTCACTATCGCTAACCTAACCCTCAATAGCTACCGATTAACTAATGATATTCACGCTAACCTAACTCAACCTAACCTAACCTAACCCACTTCATTCACCACCACCTAACCCAACTTCCAAGTAGCGTTACGGTGCTTAATACGCTGGGGGGCAATTCTGGTGCTTTTAATACCATCACCCTCTCAAATCACTTAATCAGAGACCACAGTGCAGGTAAGAGGGTCAAGTACAGGTGTTTGTTTACATTTCAAATTACACAAATTTGGGTAACGATGAACAGGTAGATATGGAGAGTGAGGGAGGTGAGGGTGGAGGGTGGTGGTGGAGAGTGGGGAGGTCAGTGGTGAGGGAGGTGTGTGTGGAGGAGTGGGAGGTGTGTGGTGAGGGAGGTGTGTGGTGAGGGAAGTGTGTGGTGGAGAGTGAGGGAGGGGTCAGTGGTGAGGGAGGTGTGTGTGGGAGAGGAGGGAGGTGTGGTGTGGGAAGTGTGGGGGGAGAGGGGAGGTGGGGAGGTGTGGGGAGAGGAGGGAGGAGGAGGGTGTGTGGATGTGAGGGAGGTGGGGAGGGAAGAGTGGGAGGAGGGGTGTGGTGGGAGAGTGAGGAGGTGGGTGGGTGGGAGTGGGGGAGGTGTGTGGTGTGGGGAGGTGTGGGGATGTGTGGTGGGAGGTGTGGGGGAGGTGTGGTGGAGAGTGTGGGAGGTGTGTGGTGGGGGGTGTGTGGTGTGGGAGGTGTGGTGGGAGGTGTGTGGTGGGAGGTGTGTGGTGTGGTGGAGGGAGGTGGTGTGGAGTGGGGGGGGTGTGGAGGAGGAGGTGTGTGGGTGTGGGGGAGGTGGGAGGTGTGGGTGTGGAGAGAGGGAGGTGTGGTGTGGGAGTGGTGGGAGGTGTGTGGGGGGGGAGGGGGTGGTGTGTGGGTGGGGAGGTGTGTGGGAGAGGGAGGGGAGGTGTGTGGTGGGAGGTGGGGGTGGGGAGGTGTGGTGTGGGAGGTGTGGGGAGGTGTGGTGGAGGTGGGAGGTGGGAGGTGTGTGGGGTGGTGTGGGAGGTGTGGTGTGGGAGGAGGGAGGTGTGGTGGAGTGAGGGAGGTGTGGTGTGGTGAGGAGGAGGTGTGTGGTGGGAGAGGAGGGGAGGTGTGTGTGGGTGTGGAGAGGTGGGAGGTGTGGTGGGTGGAGAGTGGGGAGGTGTGGTGTGGGAGTGAGGGAGGTGTGTGGTGAGT